ATTTAAATGATTTTCAATCAGGAAAAAAAATGTGCGATTAAAATGCGATTAATCGCGAGTTAACTCAGGCATTGATGCGATTAATCGCGATTAAAAAATTTAATCGATTGACAGCACTAGTAATCAGTCAAACAAGCTTTTCAACATTCAACAAAAACAAATCAGGTGCAGTTAATCACATATTGTATTTTTTTTAGCAATCTGATAGATTCAGCAGAACCTTGTGAGCTAATTGGATGAAGCGACACCTAGTGCCCTCCTACCAAAGTTTGGCATTAGCCAATCGCAAACAGCAGAAGACATCATGAGAAACAACAGCAGTGTTTGTCTTCTGTGCTGCTCAAACAATTTTTTTTTTATTGAATAAAAAAATTATTTACATTTTCAAGTAGGAATCACCACATTTATTTTTTACATACGGTAAAAAAAGAAGATAACATATATTATAAACTTGAATATTGCAAGGCAACAGAGATAAATGAATAAATAAACAGGCAGTATTATTACAACCAAAGGAAACATACAAAACTTAAGAAAGAAAGAAAACTTTAAAAGGGACAGCCTCATTCTACTTGAAGAAAGCTCCTTACATCACGTTAACTTTAGCATTTTGCTGATCAAAAACCAGAAATTTTGACATGTCACTACATAGTTTTTGTATATGTCCATATTTGTCAGCTAACAGATATAAAGAGCAGTAGAAGATTTTGAGTTCGTTTTTGAAACTTATTAATGAAGGTTTTTGACTTTTCCATTCACATACATGTATGTGATATCTTCAGCTGAAGCAAAGTGCCCCTGGTGGGATTTATAAAGAGGTTCAAGCAATAAAATAAGCTACAATTCCCTTTATATCACAAAATTACCAACTGACATATATGTATTTAAAATGTGTATTTTTATTAGGGTTAACTATTTATGTTAGTGTTTAACAGGATTCAAAATTGGTATCACTCCATTTTTATCCATCCATCTTCTCCTGCTTAGTCCTTGTCAGGGTCACAGTGTGCTGGTGACCATCTCTGTCAATGGGTGAGAGGAGAGGTACACCCTGGACAGGCCACCAGTCTGTGAGACAGACAACCATGCACGCACATTCACACCTAAGAGAAGCCAATTAACCTAACATTTTTGGGCTTTGGGCGGAAACCGCAGCACCCGGAGAGAACCCACACATGCACGGGGAGAACTTACAAACTCCATGCAGGAATTGAACCAGGAATCAAAGCCAGAACCTTTGTGCTGCAAGGCAACAGTGCTATCCATTGCTCTATCCAAGGCCACTACATTTTTATATACCTCTCAAAATGGATTCAATTTATATCTACCAACTCCATCCTTGCACATTCATCTTTATCATCAACTTTATTTGTAGAGTGCTTTAAAACAGCTAACAGCTGAAAACAAAGTGCTGAACATGGCAAAAAATAATAAAAGACAAAATAAAAGAATAAAATGCAGCATAAAGATATAAAATGAGGCTGCTATGTACATATACATATATATACAAACACACATATAGTTTAATTTTAAAGAGCAAAGCATATCCAATGACAAAATTACTGTGTTTAATTTACCCAGAAATGTCCTCAAGGAGCTAATTAGATAATTAAAAAAAAAAAACAATAAAACAAATCTTGTGAAGAAACAAAAGTTTTATTAACATAAATGTAACTGAGACATATTTTATTGAATGAAGTTACTCATGTAGGGTAGCGAGGCCAGAAATTTTGCTCAACTAAGAGTTTAAATACTTGTAAAAAATATTACTCGAATACAAGGAGAAAGTACAGACTCCTGAAGGAGAATAACTCCTGAAGTAAATGGGATTGTGGATCTAAGAATATTGTGCTAAGGTGGGGCCATATAGTTTGTTAGAAAGAAAGGAAATTAAACCTGAAGTATGATGGTGGACCACCCCAACCAAAAAGTAAGCTTTAAGTTTTCTAACAGAAAAAAATAAAATCTGCTAATGCAAAAAATAAAATAAAATAAATAAATAAACATGAAAAGTGATATTGCACTTTATTTATAGTTGGACATATTTTTTCACTTGCATCATTTATTTTTCCAGTTTCAAAATGTTTTTTCTTGTCTTCTTTTTTCAGATGCAGATCTTTTTTTCCAGTTTCTTTTTTTGTTCAGCATAATTATCCAGGTTCATTTTTTTTGTTTTGGATAAACTTAAATTTTCCCGGTGCTGTATAGGATATCGGTCATAGTGTCTGTATGAACCATCAATTATTTCTCCAGTAACTGCTTTCAGCTCCATCTAACCTTAAACACCAGATTCAGTCAAAAGTCAGTTTCCTGCTATAGTTTTTACTAACATCAGTAGATCAGCTTGCATCAGTTTTTATTTAGTTTTTTTAAGGGGGGGACTCAGTGTTTTTAAAACTTTTGTATATTGTAAAATCCGATGAAGGATTTTATAATATTTAAGGCCGTATTTGTCGCCTGAAGGAGTAATCACAATGGATAAGTAAAGCTGAGTCTAAGTCTATGATACCTACACAACTGAATGGCATATTCAAATATCCAAATCAGATATAAAACAGATAATAACCTTTATACTGAAGGTGGGAGATCCATCCTCTCCACCACTGGTACAGGTTTCAGTAAAAAAAATCTTAGAATCAACCTGCCTGTATGTAGACGACTAAAAACTTTGCTATGTCAGCTTCAGGAATGATGTAATGCAATAAAATCTCCAATAATCTCTTTGGTTACACGGTAATGCCACAGTCTCATATGATTAGGAGATTTCAGATTTTTTCTCTGCAATGTTAACATCCTTTGAAAAAGAAATCTTGTTAAAAGTCATTTTTACCTCTGATACTTTTTAGAGAAGCAACAGCAGGATAATAAGTTAATTCATGATTAGTATGAGTATTTAACTTGGATTGCTTTCATAACTTTCATACAACATAGTTGCATAATGTGATCAAAAGTTAAGGGAAATGTGACAAACAGTGCTGCTGCTTTACAAACGCTGTCTGAGTTTGAAAAGCTCTCTGCTTGACAACAGGGCGGCTCTGACTCTGCTCTTATTTTTTTTTCCTGACAGCAGATCAGATTTATTCTCCTCCCTTCAACCTGCTTTAAACTGAGAGCAAGACCTGAGCAGGAGAAGTGGCAAAGCCTGTCACCTTCTCAATAACTCCTCTGATCACTCACAATAATCCATTCCTATGTTTCTCCTGTCATTTTAGTTTTTAAATATCGCAGGAGTTGGAAGGCAGATAATTGATTCTAGAAAAACATGTTTTTTTTTTGGCGATTGTTTGCATTTTATATAATCCCAAATATCCACCATGCCTGGGCTGCGTGAGCAGAGAAAGAACAATCTGTTATCCTCAAACAGCTGACGCATTGCTATAACAGACACAAGTCCCTTTTATATCATTTTCATAGATGGTCAGTTATCTTTGTTGCAGAACCAATAATGCTTAAAAAAAAAGTGTATACTTTAAAGTCACTAAAGTACTTGAAAAACCAAACATTGTTGTATATCCCTGTGGCAGGAATTGTGAGAAGGGAAGCATGATTTGTGAAGAGAAATTTTCTGGCACATTCAGTTTCTTTCATTCAAATGTTTTCTTACACAACGTGGCCTTTGCTGCTGCATGGGCCAACGCTCACCCGTGTGTGAGTGAGTGATACTTTAACCCAGTGGTTCTCAAACTTTTTCTGTCATTCCCCACTTTGGACAAGGGGGAATTTTCAAGCCCCGCCTGTCCCCATCGCCCCAACACAATGCTAATGAAATATTCAACAATCTTAAAATGTTCCAATTTTATTGAAGTAACAAGTAGTATCTAAATACAAATCTACATCAAATAACAGCAAGCTCAAAAATAAAGAAAATAAAAATGCAGCTGTGTCAAAATTTGTATCAAGCTCAAAGATAGAAAAAATTAAAGTGCCACTCTGCAATCTGTTAATAAAAGAAAAGAAGTGAAATCCATCTGGCAAGACAGGTCTATTTATCCCTGCATTAGTGGCTGCAATGAGCCTGTTTTGCATTGCACAGTTTCTCAAAACGGGGTTGCAGGCTTGATACTGCCACTCTCAAGTCATGCTCAATGTTCTGCTGAGATCTGTATTTTGTTTTCATTGAAGCAGCAGCTGAAAAGCCCATCTCACAGAGATATGATGTGGCAAAGGGAAGAAGAATGCACACAGCTCTCTGCCCGATGAGTGGATACTCGCTCTCCACTCCTAACCAGAAACATGAACATGTGGCTGTGTGAATCAAACGCCGTTATTTATTTAAGATAAAATATTTCAAATTCAGTTATTTATGATCAACCTGCGCCGTCAATCCCGGCGCATGTGCGCTTTATTTGCAGTCTGGACGCAAAAGTTAAACATGCTGTGTCTCTGCTCTGACTGCAGCGCTGATAGGGACTCCTGCAATAGCGGGGGAGAACGGGGTTGGGACGGGGGAGGCGCCCCACGGCAGCACCTGCCGCTGGAGGACAAGAAAAGGAACGATACGTGCTTTCACGTAAGAGTCTCCAAAAGGCGCTAGATTTGTTTTTTTGAAAAAGAGTCGCTGGAGGGGTCTGAAATATAGCGACAAAGTCGCTGAGTTGGCAACACTGGGGCGCGAAAGTTTATTCTGTTACAAATAATATGCCGACGTCACGTCAATCATTATTTTGGCACTTCAGTTCCAGGGGAAATTTTTCTCATATCTAATGTTCTTTTAATTAGACTGCATGTAGGCTAGTAATGATTACTTTGTGGGTTTGATTGGTCTAAAAAGCGGCAACATACAGCTATAAGGACAGTTTGCTCTCACACATTCTACATTTATAGTCACACACACACACACACACACACACACACACACACACACACCGGAACTTGGCGCGCCCCACCTGTCACGTCTCAATTCCCCACCAGTGGGTCGCGCCACACACTTTGAGAACCGCGGCTTTAACCCAACAATCTGACAGTGGGATTTCCTACAAGCAACTGTAGTGTGTGGGCTGCTGTGTTGAGCAGAGATGCGCGGGGTCATGTGTGGATGCGTGGGATGCAAGGTACAGTATGGTGTTCTAAGTATATTCACTGGCAGAGCATAGACTAAGAGAAGTGTTGGTGATCAACACTTTGAAAGAAGCAGGAGCTGTTTTATATTCTACTTACATAAATAACATGCCTGTGAGTCTATGTGGCTTTTAATCTGGAATATTCCTGAAAAAAAATGCTATCTCTGTATACACTAAGGAGATTATATTTGTTGCATGTGAATGTGTGACAGATGGATGCCATCTAGTGGAAAATAAACATTATATTCAAATGGGAACCTTAAATGTTAGATTTTTATACATATGTACTTAAACAAAAGGTTAACAATAACTATTTTTTTTCTCCATTCGCTTTGTGTTATGCTGTTAATTATTTTTCATGCAAGTTAGTGTGTCAGATATGGAGATAATTGATAAAATTCCAGATGTTTTGAACGCACCAGTTGCTATGGTAACAGTACACAAAAATTCCAGGTGATGAATTTCTTCATTTTCCTTTTTTGTTTTTCTTTTTTAAATGGTGAGTTGTGCTCTTATTTGCAACAAACTAAAATAGGCTATCGTTTAAAATGGCTTTTATTAACCTTTTCTACCAAGATAAATTTATTTTTAAGCTGACTTCAGCTTGTTAGCCTTATCTGACATTAAATTATTTTTTTAAAGCATAAACTATTTTCTAAAGCAATTTACTGGACGGACAGAAGGAAATCCTTTTGATGTAAACAGAAACTTTATTAATTTCTGTCTTAAAGTTTTAGCAATTTTTTTTGAAGAAGAAGAAGTGTAAAAGCGTTTATTGTTGCAGTTATTGGTCGCAAGTAACGATATCAATAGGTCTTTCGTTTTGAAGCATGTCTAACTCGTTTAAAACTCAAAACTGAAAAGTTACGCGAAACACTGACGCCAGTGGACAGAATTCCAAAGGGACCTTAAAGGCATCAGTTACCATGACAACAGAACACAAGCCTACTCGACGCTTCTAAATGCATCTGCTCTCGTCTGGCGGGGGGGAATAAAAAACGATAAACAGACACTCAGATTTGGAGGTGGGTAGTAACTAGTTGCAATTATATCAGTTACAGTTACTTTTTTGACACAGATATACTTTCAGGCGTAGTTTTAGTTCGCCATATTGTTTACATTAACTTTAACCTACCGTTTGGTTTAGAGGCCAAGTTAATATACAGCAAGCAGTGAGTAATGGTGCTGGTTTTATAAGCTCTACGTTAAAAAAGAAAATGGTTTGGAGAGTTTTACAGCCTGGAATTTTTCTTTTTAAAATTTGCATTTTCTGGTTGTTTTAATTGTTCTGTCTAATATGGGTCGCCTAAAGTTAAGCAGCAAAAATTAGGAGCAATATTTATGGTTATTTAGCGTGTTTTAAGAGCAACATAATGACTTTATTTTTTCCCCCAATTAATTTTTTCACTATGTCATTCATTCATTTATAAAAATCTTAAATTGTTAAATTAATATTTAGCTTGCAAATTAAATCTTTAGTTTTGAAATACACCATCATGTGCTGCTGCCATCAACACCTTTGTTTATAGATGGTGGAGATCGGCCTGTTTTCCAGTGTAGTCCTGTTTCTCTGACTGTGACTGGCTGGATGTGCTCTCTTAATCCTCTGACATGGGAGCTGACTCGGAGCTCGTCTACCTGGCTGTGTTTCCTGGACGGGGCCATCTTTTACAGCTGCTTTTTCTATCTCTGTTTCTGTCTCCTTGAACCCCAGTCGGCCTCGGCAGATGGCCGCTCACACTGAGCCTGGTTCTGCTGGAGGTTTCTACCTGTTAAAAGGGAGTTTTTCCTCTCCACTGCTTAGTGTGAGAGATTGCCTTTAAGTCAATGAGTCGATGCAATCAACTGGTTTTCCTTAGATAGAAAACTTTGAATCAATTTAACTGTATGAACTGGTGAACTGTAAAGTGCCTTGAGATGATGTGTTGTGAATTGGCGCTATAGAAATAAACTGAATTGAATTAAGGAATTTGACAGTTGGACCCCGTGTCCTGGGTTCACCTTTGTAGGTGGCCCCTGATGCTCGGACTCTTCTTATTTCACAATCCTGTAAAAGCTGATTTCTATTGCAAGTGCAACTTATTGCACCAACGTTTTTCCTTGTACACTAAATTGAAATAAATATTTAGCTCCATAATTAATATATAGTTTGTTAAATTAATGTTTAGCTCCAAATTAAATATTTATTTAACAAACAAAATATTTAGCCAACACCAAGCTAGTTAAATACTTAGCTAGCCTGGTGCTAGCTAAATATTTAGCCAATATGCAAACTGACTTGCAGAAATACGGAAGTGAACTACCTAAGGAAAAGCCTGGGAATCCCTATACAAATCCTACGGCATCACACTGACAGGAAACCACAAGTTCGTATATGAAAAAAAAAGTAATTAATTCCAAAATGAATGGTTCTCTTTAAAATTGTTTCATTTGACCATATACATTTGTTTTAGGAAACTGGCAAATGTTTATTGTTCTGTTAACGTGGGCTACAGAGCAATAATTAACAGTGACACACAAAACGGTGTCATTTATGAAGACAAAAAGGATAAAACACATTAAGTATAAAAAGCACATGTAAATAAAAAATACTTTACTGATCCCAGCAAATAAATAAACTAAAATAGTTCAATCATAAAAAGCCAAAACCAAACAACACTTTGAATAAAAGCATGTCTCTCAGTCGATCAATCAATCAAACTTCTTTATTGTCGACAACAATTTACATTGCAATCTCTTTAACAGAGCTGATTTAAATTTTTTTCTAATAAGAGAACTTCTTGTCTATGCTTTTTTTTTTCTTGTATCTTTTTAAAACCCACTGCAGAGCTAAAAGATGACCTGATGTAGCTCCAACAGAAATAGAGATGCCTTCACCTCATCCTCGTACATTTCTGATAAGATGCCAAGCTTTCACACATACAGTATCAGCGCAGCCACTGTACTACTCTACATTTTGTGTTTTCAGCTAAATGAGCAATTAGTGCTGTGGTTTCAGAGGCTGATAATGCTGCCAAATTACAAAAATCAGATATAAACTGGGGAAAAAATCTGGAGAGTAGAAATAATATAATGGCACCGCTGAACTTATGTGCTCTGTTTTTTTTTTTTACTTTTTACAGAAATGAGGAGGAGGACACCACAGAGTCCATACAAAATGCTGAACAGCTGCACAGTTTTTGCACTGAGCGCTGAGGAACCGGCGGAACGAAGAGAGGTCTGTTTGCTTCTTGGCGGATGTGTTTGAAAATGTTTTCTCTGCAGTGAAGCTGCGCTGCAATCTTTGCAGCAAAGCTGGATTCAGTCAGGTTGAAGGCAGGCCCCTTGTCTCCTCACCCCGTCTTTCTTTTTGATGCTCAGGAGATGCAGAAATTTCTGGCACTGCCAATTGAAGAAAAGGCAACCCACGCTGTGAGAGCGCTGGCCAAGAAGAAGAATGAGGTGGTGGGAGAAGTGGAGGAGGAGAGTGGGGAGAAGAAGAGTGTGAAGCAAACTCAGACCAAAACAGCTGGCCGCAAACAAACACCAAGCCCACATGATCAGAAAATTAGCAGGATGAGAGGAGGTAAATTTAGAGTTTATGAGAAATGAAGTTGTACAAAAAGTGGACTAGCATAACCCTACTTTTAAAATCCCTGATTTTATTTCAGTATCTTTATCCTGGGATTATAAATCCACTTAAAGGAAATTTAGTTTTTAACTAAATCAACTCTGGATCAGTTAATCAGCTTGACCGTAGCGTCACTGCTTTATTTATCAAGTAACTTTCCTGTAGCGACGTTATTGTTTTGATCAAGTAGCGACGTAGCGTCCACAAACGCTACAAAATCCAGGGCAAAACTAAGAAATGAAACCAGGTTTTCTATTTTGAAACAACAATCAGCCACAAAACTACTGTAAATAGCAGTTTCAGCTGACGCTCTTATAAGTGGCGTAGTAGCACAGGCACACTCAGTAGGGTTAAACAAGCGCACCCTTTCCGAGGCTGTCGTTCTATTGGCTGGAAAGGTTGCTAGGCAACGATCCAACTGCAGTCTGAGAGAGCAAAACAAATCCGCAAGCAGAGCCTACGGGTTTGCGAGCGTAACAGAGCGCGGTTTGTGCGCGAAGAGAAGGAGGCAAGCGAGAGGAGAAAATATCTGTGCAAGAAGGATTAAATCTGAGAGAAGAAACAAAGAGAGAAGAGAAAATATTTGAGAGAGAGCGCATGTTTTGAGTGTGAGCATTATAAGTTTTGAGAGCAAGAAGATGAAATTCTTTTCTCAAATTGAAATGATGTGCTCTTGCATTATGGCAGGATAATTCTCCCATTTGTGCCACTAAGATACTCTAATTAGAGAGCAGTAGTGTTTTCATGGCCTAGTTTACCTGACAGGATGTTTACATAAATCTGTTTTTAGGCTGTGCACAGATAAGATTTTTTATGGAGGAACAGCTCTACCGTATATAAAATAAATACATAAATAAATAAATGCTCAATAAATAAACAAATAAGCATTCAATTAATTGCCTCCAAAAATACAATGAATAAATATGTAGGTAGAAATTAAATTAAATGGTGAGACATATATATATGTATCTCTTAAATAGCTTCTTTATTTTTTCACCTTCTTTTGAAAACAGTTTTGTTTGTTACTTGAATCAACTGTTTAATTGAGGTCTTTTGTAGGGTTTTGTTTTCCCTAGAGATGTCCATTGAATGCAAACTCATAGCCATGTCTCAGTGTGTAGAACACTACACAGTACCTTTAATTTGGCTCTAATAACAACAGATTGTTTACTAGTTTGTCTACTAGTAATTACTTTAGTTTTTATTTTAATATGCTTATCATAAAGCAATGTTTACACTGTGATATGTCATTGGCTGATCTTTAATAAATGTTTTAACCAGTGTGTCAGACTCATTTTGAATTGATATTAGGTTGGTAAAACGTTAAGTAGCTTCTGATGTAGTTAAGCTACTTTTAACACATTATAGTGTAACTTAGCTTGCTATAATTCTTTAGGTGGTAGCTTTTGTGTAGTGAAGCTTAATTTATTGTTGAGTAGCTGATAGCTTAGCTCACTACACTGGACAAGTAGCTTGCCCAACACTGCCCACAGCGCTCTCTGCTGGAGACAGATGGTAGATCTCCAGATCCCAACAGTAACCCCAGTCCCTAACAGAAAAACATAAAACAGAAGAGGATCCTCGGCGCCCTCTGGTGGGCAAAGCCTCAGGATCCCAACATGCAGAAGGCCGGCATCCAGAACCCGGCAAGGAAAAGTGGAGAAACCCACTGCAGCCGTAACACTTCCATTACATATTTGACACAGAATGAACGATCTTTTAAACTAGAAAAAAAGATTACTTAGCAAGATGACTGAACATGATTGTGAACTTGTTTTTTGTAATTTTACGTGAATTATCATGCGTCACGCACCTGCGCCATCAAAGCAGAGGCAGCTGATGTTCAGACTCTCCAGCTCTGCAGCGTCTCTCATAGTTTTTTTTTGCTTATATTGAGTTTATCATCAGAGATGAGAGGAGTTCACTTCCTGTTAATAACTCATTCATAACTTGTTCAGCTTCTTGTTCCCCAGGCAACCATTGTCATAACAAACCAACACCTGACAATGATGAACCGAAAGACAGCAACATCTCCTCCTGACCTCTGACCCGACCCTTTGTCTGATTGCTCTTCAGACTTTGCCCCGTTTTTTTTCCTTTCACTGTTGGATGTTGTTTCTGTTTTAATAACTTAAAAAATAACATTGAATTTTAAACATTAGCTAAATAAAATGAACTGTAGTGCATTTTATCGTATATTGATGTGATTTATAAGCTGTCATTTTACAACAGGAAGACTAGCCACCACTATGTGGGAGCTAATGTCATCCATTCAAGCAGAATTCAGCTGTGTTTCCTCTTCCAACAGAAAGATTCACAAAACAAAGCAAGTACGACCTGATCCTGATGGAACGGCAGCAAGCGGTCTTGGAGGTGAGAGGGAGGACAGTCAGGGTCTATGTAGTCTTGATGCCAAACGACAAAACATTTGTGTTTGAGATCTACATGTTTAGATTTAGGATTTCATATGAATGAGATGACAAATGTTGGAAGTAAAGTTCATGAGTAGTTTTCTCTCAGTAGAACTGGAGGTCTCGACGAAGGCAAAAATTGAGACTTTTCTGAGAGAAAATATCTGAAAACAAAGATTTGCTGCCATCTCCAAAATACTAAGAAATGATCAAGGCAAGTTATGAAACTCTCTCATTATTCCATTATTATTAGATATCCCTGATGACTAAAAGGTCTGAGATACAGAGGATGGACAAGGTCATTGCAAAAGAGGAAAGAAAGCTGAAACAATTCGAAAAGCTCATGGAGAGAGACAATCAGAAGTTTGAGGAGTTTCTGAAGGAGAACGAGAGGAGGTCCATTGAAGCCAGAACGCTGTGAGCGATCAGCCGCACTGCACTTCAGCCTCATCTGAATCCATGTTCTAACCGACCAGCGTTTCAATCGTTTCAGCTTTGAACAGGAGGAAAAATCCAAACAGGAGAAGAACACTGCCATCAGGAAGCTAACTGCTGAAATGGGGACCATTCAAAGGTAGCACCATGCTAAAGTATTCACACTCCTTGAACACTCTCATGTTTTGACGTGTCACAATAGTCATGTTTCCATCTATTTCAATTTTATGAGAATCTTGAAATTTCACTTTAGAAAGAGAAAATTCCGGATCAGGGATTTTGAAAGTTGGCACAATCCATAGAGGCAGATCTATTTAGTCTATTTCTAAAGCAAAATAAATTAGTTGAAGAATGTCTTGAATACCAGAAGAGTTTAACCCATTATGGCCATCTTTTTAGTTTAAAACCTTTACAGATGCATGTTTGTTTTCAGGATAAAATTTTCTTACAATTTACGTTTTTTATTACTTCCTTTTCTGATCTTAGACTGATTTCAAGCAGTCATCTGTGACATGATCCATGTGTACTAACATACATGTCATTGTCATAAACGGGACAGATAGAGCCAGTATTTAGGGCAAATCAGACAAAGGGAAGATTCAAAACGTTTATTGACAGTTTATTGAAACGGACATTTCAGATCCAGGAGTCCGTAGCCCGAACCAGAGTTTCGGATCCAACCAGGAACAGACAGATCCAGGGTTCCAGGAATCATCAGAGCATTCAGGCAGGTTCAGAGTTCTATGAGTCCAGCAGCGTGCTCAGACAGAAACGCGCAGATGAAGACAGGCAGGCTCAGTTGTAGAGAGGAACATGGACAAGACTTGATACCAGGATAAATGCAGAACTTTAAACTGGTCTCAAGCCCTGGAGCCAGGCTTAAAGGAATTAAAACTGACCTTCCCAAAGTTCCGAGCCAAAACCCTGAGGGCTCAGTGAAGAAGAGCCGGGACATGACCGGGAGACAGGAGACAAACACCAAACCCTCTCAATCCACTGGTCTCCAAGACTCGGGACATTAACGGGGAACTTAAGTCTCATGAAACAAATATAAATTACTGACACGAAAACATAAGATGAATAAACTAAGAATACACAAATAATGATCTGGCCCTGATAGCTGGGCTGAAACATATAGATAATTAGAAAGCGGGGAGGCAACGGCAGGTGAATGAAGTGAGTAATTAGATCAGCTAATGGGGCTGCAATCATGACAGTCATACTTGCATATAGAGAGGAGTTTGGGACAGTAGCTTAAAAAATCCACAGAAATGATGATGACGTCAAAGCATCGGAAAAGTATCAAGATCTTTAGATTTAATAAGAATATCGGATTGGACATGAACAAGTTTAGATCACCTTACTTGATTGGAACACACACTTTATAACTTGGCTTCATTACGGATCTGTTGTCTGTGCTAGCTTGCTACCTCTACTTCCTCTTTACTAAAGACTAGTCTAACCTAAATGTATGACGACCTTATGCTTTGCATTGTCTGGTTAATTTGCTCCAATCGAAAGAAACTAATTCTAATCATATTATTTGCCGCTTTTCAAAAGCTTTCTTATGAGGATTGGATGGAAACACAGCTCCTCAAATCAACTATTAGCATCTACTCTGTCCTAGATGTAGAAAAGCATTCCCACAGCATGATGCTTCCACCATCTCATTTAAATAGCCAACCATTTCTGGGCTTTTATTTACAACAAAAAAGGGAGTCCATGTACTATTTTTCCTTTACTTTACTTAAAATTTTTTCTTAAATTTATTGCTGTAATCCTGATTAAACACATTAAAGTTTGTGGTTAGAAAGTGATCAAATGTGAGCAGGATCCTGGAGTTTAACTTTTACTGGGCATTAAATCACATGATCTACTGCATGGATGTAAAAGTGCAAAACCACAAACAGAGGGCCATGTTGTGCTTTTCTTATGACTTCCCAGTGAACTAGACAAGTATGAAGAAGCTCTGAGAGACTACCAGAAATACAGAGACTTCCTGTTCGGGATTTCTCCCCCAGAGTGGCAGGAAGAGCAGAAGACCAAGGCCCCAAAGACAAAAGCTTTGCTTATGAAAGACAGACAGCAAATCCAAAACAAGGAACCTTCTGAAATCGGTATTTGTATGAGCAAGCCATTGAGATTAAAGCAACCAGGCAGACTATTTCTGGAGAGAGGGATAATTCTTTTGGTACCGGTAAGTGTTTTTTTTTTTGTTTATGTTTCCACAGGTTTGGAAAGTACGCTGTCCAGCTCTGGGAGAAATCAGAGCCCTGTCAGAGTGTCCAGGTTACCATCTGCTCAAAGTGACTCACTGTAAGAAACACAGCTTTCACATCAGAACATTATAGCACAGGGGTTTCAGAAATAGATGGCTCATGTTTTCCATGTAATAATCACTTTCTGATTATTAGTAAATAATCATACACTGCAGTATATTTACTGCAGTATAATCAAAAGACAACCCAACTGATGTGTGGATTAAAAAATACCCGTGAATGAGTGCTGTTTTAAGTAAATGCAGAGTGGATCTATTTTAGTGCAATACTTTCAAATCAAATAAAGCACTAAGTATTTTATTTTATTTTCGATGCTTTTCCTCTCTGAGTACGGAAACGGTTCCCTGCTAAGTTTGATTGCCTGTCAGTGTTGTGGAAGAGGGAGGGGCTCACAGCAGTTGCTCGCTAAAGACACTAAACGCAGAGTTATCTGTGCTTTTGCGTTGTCTCCAAAGTTACCACCAACACAGGGTTGCTAGATTAATCATTAGTTGCTGTTTTGTAGAAACGCAGTAAAGGGGTTTTAAAATTAGCTAAATATAGCAACAAAGTCACTAAGTTGGTCACAATTGTGACAGGTCTACTGCCCCTAGTGCTACTCGTGCTCAGAGTGCCTCACATTGTGCAAAGGGTATACTCAGGTAATTGAGCTCTTAAACAGCCTACTTTCACCTTTAGCTAGGAATATTTACCATTCTAATAGTGAAAGACTTTGTTAATTACATATTTAGTTACTGACAAATTAAGTTCTCTTGCTACCAGCATTATAAAGTTATGGTTACTTCTTCACTAGACATGCTTGCTGTTTTGTTGTGTGTGTTTGACCTAATATGTGCATATGAGGTAACGCGTGAAAAACAGGATGGGAAGGGGGGTTAGGAGGCTGGAGATTAGGTAGAGAGATGCCTGGCTGTTCGTCACACATCTTGTATACAGATAATTCTTAATAGCCCCACCAGAGGTAAAATTTTGCTTGTTGCTTTTCTAAAGGTTTTTTTCATTTTTGACCTATACCTTCTATAACGGCGGTCTTTAACGTTTTTCAGGCCAAGGACCCCCAAACTGATGGCAAGATGTAGCGTGGACTCTCTAATTATATATATTGTATGAAATCGTGTTCTATCAAACTGGTCCTATAGTCACTCTATGACAGATGGAGTAATGTAACAAAAGTGTTTGCGTCCTGGGATTATTAAAGTATTACTGATTCTGATTCCTGGTTGATGGGACAGGTGTTGTGAATGAAACAGTGCCCAGCTTGAAAGAGCTTCTGTGTATCACTGAATGTGTGCATTGATGACTGAAAGACATCCTCTGCCTCCATTTATCTGTTTACTACAGTGTGTTGAATTTATTTTAATGTGGATTTAAAGACATTTCAGTAAAGTGGTAAAAATTGCAGGGGGGGATGTAAAAAAAAAGTCTTATCAACCAAAACTTTCGCAACCCCATGCAGTACCTCCGTGGACACCCTAGGGGTCGTGGACCCCATGTTGAAGACCTACATGTATAACCATCTATCTATTCTGCATACATATGAACATTTTGGCCCTTAAACAAACGTCATTATCCTTGAGGTGTAGGTGCACAGCTGAGTGTCCTGAGGACGTGGATTGCCTGTGGAGAAGCTGTTTAGTTTATGAACTGCATGAACAGAGTGGGAGTGGGAGGCGTCAAATTTCAGCTTTCACAACTACTGTATATAGCTCAGCTTTAAGCTTGAATCCCAGTCAGTTTCAAACCTCTTCACACCTTCTTGCTGGTGACAAACATCTTCCCGTTCTAACCAGGATTGACAGTTCTAAATTTGCTCTGGAAAGACGACAGTAAGGACAGCAAACATTTACCTTTAGTGCACACAAGAGCCATCTCTGTCTTCAGTTAGTGTCCCTTAAATGTACTGAACGTTTACGTTGGAGTATTAGCAAAGAGCTGCAGGCATTTTCTTTTTACAAAAGGTAGAAAAAAATCTCTGATTCTTTTAAGTAAAATACACAAGGTCAATACCAGCAACTGCTTTATACACAGTACATTAATATGATTTACTACAGCATCAAGACACTTAAAAAATCTACCATTCTTTAACAGTGATTATTGAAGCGTGTTTTTTTGTTTGTTTTTTTTTAACCTCCTTTTTTGTCCTATACAGTTTTTATGATGGCAGAAAAAATTTAGGTCTCTATCCCCATGGTTTTAGGTCAAATGTCGACTTTGTAATATTTGGGGTATTTTCTTCTACTGTACATATGTACAGTTCCAGGCAAGAAGGTTCTACGCAGTCTCAAACATAAAATGGAAAAATCTAAATTAAAATGAAACATTGAAAAGAAATGTGTCATTACCAAGGCAAGGCAGGTTCATTTGTGTAGCACGTGTCAGTGACATCACTAGATGCTGTACATGAATTAATCATTATTGGAAAACAGAGAGAAATGCACATTGCCATGGCATAGTGAGAGAAGAAGAGAACTAAGAACTGATTATTAACGGTAAAGAAAGTTTGACTAAATCTGGTTTTACAGCTTAAACAGACAGTGTTGGTATTCAGCTGTATTAAATGAAGCTGTGTGCTAACTTTTAAACTCTTCCTTTGATCCAAAAATGATTTCTTCAGCTTCATTTTGATTTCCTTGAAGAAATTTTTTTCCTACATATCCATTGATTTCTTCTCTGCATTTACCCAGAGCTGGAATCTTTTATATACACCTGGAAACATGGTGATGTACACCTGGGTGACATCTGCGTAGTGATACTGAAAAGAGATCACTCGGGATAAACTCTTTAAATAATACTCTTGCTTAAATTAAATTTTGGGGGCACTCTACTCACCTCTGGCAACAGGACAGGACTTTCAGCCAGCCTGCGGGTCATTGGTCTGGAAAGATTTTATTATAGTAATGAAAACTACACAACTAAATTTGAAGATATGAAAACTTTTACATTTTGCTGCTAGAATTACAATCATAACAATCAGAAAAGTGTTAATTACTAAATTCACTGTCTGCAGTTATACAATGAGAGAAAAATCCAAATTTTGTTTCTGTGCAGCGCCCCCTTGTGGTAAAATGGATGTGGATTAATTTATAAAAAATATTTTTAAAACATGAAGACAAGTTAATGTAACATGGATTGATATTATTACAGTACTAATATTATATAATTCTGGTATTCTGTCACAAAACTACATTAAAAGTATACATTTAAACTCTTTCTTTTACATTTTAGGGAGACAAACTGTAGACAGGATTGTGTCAGCTCAGAGGTCAGTTTCCCTTTACCTGATTTTTATTGTTTTTTATTTTTTTTCAGTATGAATTAAAGAATTTATTATTCACTTTGATGTTTCACCTCCGTTCAGGATGAGCCAGAGCTGTACTTCACAGATCCCCAGCAGCTACTGGATCTGATGACAAAGCTGACGGAGCAGAACCTGTTCCTGATTAAAAACTCTGCCAGGGTGGAGGACATGCTGAAGGAGCACCGTCAAACCATGGAGACGACCAGGAGGCAGATGTAAGCAGTGCTCCATTTCAACCATTCTGTTTTTCATTTCCTACCTTCTAAATCTAAAGCAGCTTTAAAGAACCTTGGAGTCATCTTTGACAGAAGTTTGACATTTGACAAGCAGTGTAGTCAGGGCTAGCGTTCTCTAATGGGTTAAGTGCCTCCTAACCTGCAGCCTCCGCCACTGTCCAATATTACAATGATTTCATAGTGCAGGTTGGATCCTTCCAAAGGGTTAAAGAGTAATAGCTGATTTAATTATGCTTTTTGGTGATTTAGGTGTAAGGTTACCAAAGGTAAAACTTTTTTTATTCATATTGATCATGAGAAAGCTCTTCTCACGTTTACAAGCTCCAGAATAAAATATTGTTACTCGACCTGTGTCAGTGTCTTTATGTCATTCACTAACTGTCCTCAATTGGTTCAAAATGCTGCGGCTCACTCTTTACCAACATTCCCAGGTGAAGGCACATCATCCCAGTCCTTCTTTTCTCTTCATTGGCTTCCAGCTTTTTTTAGGATTGATTTCAAAATGTAGCTGCTTGTTATTTTAGAGCCCTTAATTCTGTTGCTCCTCCGTACCTGCCTGAACTTGTAAGCATTCTGAGTCCAACTATAACCTTTAGTTCAACAGACCAGCTCTTTTTAGAAGTCATCAGAGCTACGTATAAACACTGAGGGATCATACCTTCTCAGTCACTGACTGTGGCACAAGTTACCTCCTGACATTCACACCAAAGGACGCTGAAAAGAGGAGAGTGAGAGGGCCCCAGAAAGGCCCCTAATACAACTATAATACTGACCAAATAGCATGTCACTCAGTAATAAACATACAATCCATTTTAGTTACAATTTATTGGTTTTGGAAACATTTCTCAACGAAATGATGAGAGGAATAGACCAGTATTAAGTATTGCAGGCTAAAAAAGAAGCCAAACGACGGCGGACCCGTTCTTCAGGTTCAATTTGCATGTTGTCAGGGTTCTGCCCCCTATTTAAGTTTATTTTTAGTTTCTTTGTATTTATAGTTGTTTTCTTGCAGTGTTTTGTTCTTGGGTTACTCTCAGTTCCCCCCTTTTGTTTGTTTCCTTTCCCCTTGGCTTCCTTCTAGATGCTTCCATCCACACCTGTTCCTTGTCAGCTCATTAGTCCAGTCTTTAATCTGTCTCCTATATAAACTCTCCCTGTGCAGTTCCTCAGTGCTGGATTGTCTTTTCCTGGCTCTACGTGTGAGTTTTCCTCTGAAGTTGTCTGGTTTTTTTTTTTTTTCCGTTATCTTATGCAGGCCAGCAGTTAGTTATAGGTCAGCCTGAACACCTAAATTCAGCCAATCTTATATCAACGGTCATCTGTCAATCTAATTTTTTCGGTCATAGCATCTTGATTCATATCTTGCAGCTAATATACGCACCGGTTGAAATAAGAATCATTTCCTTTCCCATGGAGTTCCGTCCCAGTGTTCATGGGGATAGACGTCTGTGTCTTCAGCAGGCGTAGAGCTAACAGAACTGGCAGCATTGCGAGGCAAGGACTCAAACATGTACGGCTGGAAGCCTTCTACACCAAACCAAGCTTCTGCCGCCCTGGAGTCCCCTTCCACAACATCTTCGTCCCGCTTTCCTCCTCTAAATAAAAAATATATGATGGAGGAGACTCATCCACGACCTTCAACACTAAACTCTCCTCTTCTTGCACGTTTCCTCTGTCCATAGCGTTCCTTGATAGTGTCGTTTCTAAGTCACCAATTTAGTGCTACTTGGTCCCAATGGAATTTCCATTGGGAACCTACTAGCACTAAGTTGCTAACTGGTTAGCAAGATGCTTGCGACAAACCGGCCACAACCATTGGAACAACCGCTTCCCTACGACTTTAATGATAAACCGCAAAAGATGACTTTTTTTAGCAGATGCATCATGTCAACAGATACCTTTTTAAACACAGTTTATTTTGTCAGTTAGAAACAACTCCTATATACATCACATGACTTTCTTGAAACGACACAAGTACCGATGAAGTGTTTTGCTCAATGGGCTCGACGCATGCACCGACGCATTGGTGTTGCTGGACCCATCACTACCTCAAACTAAACGCTAATTCTGACATTTTGAATTGGGAAAAAGCTTCCTGGATGGGAAGCGAAACATCTTCAAACTTGGAAACTAAGTCCGGTGGAATTTTTTTTTTTACCTTTTAGAAATGAAAATCATAAAATATCAATTAGAATAGAATAGAATAGAATAGAATAGAATAGAATAGAATAGAATAGAATAGAATAGAATAGAATAGAATAGAGTATATGATGTGTACTACAGATCTAGGTCCAGAGTCCTCTTCCAGATTTTTGCATCTCGTTCAAAAGATTATGATATTTGAAATAAATCATAAAAATGCAATTGGCCATTATCTTTTTGATGTTTTTTTTTTTTTTTTTTTTACTAAGATTTGTTGTTTTTTGCCACAGACAATAACATTTCACTTTAATAGGAGAGGTTGATTTGTACTTATGTTTTGTATTTTGAGGTAATTATTCTTAGGAGAATTTTATGTCCAAATGATTAAGACAGTCGTGGGCTTTGGATGTGTGGAGTTTCAGTCTTGCAGCAAATAAGTGGATCTAAATTAATTTCATTCCTCTAAGTGTCGACTTTTTTTTTTCTTTTTACAAATATGGGGGTGTTAACCGAACATATGATTAAAAAGGAATATTTTATTTTTGATGGTATAAAACTTTTCCACCAGCCTGATGGTCGGCTATCAGAGGGCCCAGTAGGATATCTTTTCAGGGGACCTAAAGTTCCTGGCACCGCCCCTGTTCTTACCACTACTCACGTTTTTAAGGCTAGGCTTAAAACCCATTTATTCAGATTGGCTTTTAACATTTAGTAACACTGACTCATCTTTCTGTTTTTATATTGTTTTTGTTTGTTTTTTCATCCCGTTTCCATAGTTTTTTTTTTATACAGCACTTTTTCACTTTTATTTCAAACTTACTGTGTGTGTCTGTAGAGAAGAGGAGGAGCAGCAGATAGCCCTTCAGATAAAAGAGCTGAACCAGAGAATCCACAGAGAGAAGAAGAGAGGCGCCAAGCTGGAACACATGATTCAGCTTCATCTTAAACTGAGCTCACAGGACAAAGTAAGAATGACTGATACACGCAATTAACCCTATTCGTATTAAATAATTACATCCAGACTGCAGCTCACTAGTGCATATTTCAGAGTAATAGTGCCATGCAGCATGAAAAATAAGTAAAAAAAACAAAAGAGGGAAGACTCCGTTCTATGGCATCAATGTCAGCCTTTCTGAGGGGGAAAGAAGCACAAATGTCAAAAGGACGATCTTAAGTAAAAGTACAGATATTCCTTTTAAATGACTTCAGTAAAACTACTGAATGAAATCCTTCAGTTAAGTAAAAGTAAAAAACACAAGTTCCTTTATATGTTTAAATGTACAAATAAAATAGATTTAGCCTTGATACAAAATTTTTCTAAATTAAAATTTCAGGTAGGATAACATAGATTAAACTGAACAGGAATCAAAGCATTAAAGCATCAAATGGCATTCCAATTAAAACTTTTAGAACTTATAACCTCAGCATCTTAATTTTAATCTAATAAAGGGGGAATAGATGGAAAATGCATCTCAGAATCTGAGCCATCATTTACAATATTTTCAACGGCTCCTGTATAAAGATCCCCCTATAATGTTTTTAGGGCTGATACGATTATTCTGACATCATTCTAACCGATCCCAGATATGTTCTGCCGATATTTTTGGGCCATTTTATAAAGCTGCTATTAGCTTTTTTTTTTCTTTCTTCATTTACATGATAAAAATGACACACTGATTGAAGTCTCAATTAACCTAAAAAAGAAACATTTTCTACTAAACAAAACAACAATGGAGAGCAAATGGAGGGAAAGCCAATGTATGCGGCTCATGGCTGCTGAGTGCACTGATCAATCAGCCAATGCATATTCATGTCAGCTTATACCGAAGCAATAAAAAAAACACTAATATTGGGCAAAATATCAGCACCTGGCTCCAACTGGACGGCCAGTTTAAAGTAAGAAGAACGTACAGATATTTGTGTTCAGATGTGGAGAGCAAAAGTTGGATTTCCTCAAACAAATAAATGCTCAATTAAAGTGCAGATACTGTAAAAAGCTACTCAAGTACTAAGTATTTAAGTTATTTCCCACCTCTGGGAATGAGCAGAGGGAATGATTGTTTTTGATAAAAATAAGTATGTATGACACAGATGATTAAAAACAGAGGAGTTCACTCTTGGCTTAGTTGCAAGGGGGAACAGATTAAAGCAGGCCACCTGGTATAATCTGTTCCCCCTTGTAACTTTACAAAACAAAGGTTTATAACCTCCAAAGTTTCAGGAGTGATTTGTCATCATAAAATATGTTTATAAGCCAAAAATGAAAAAGCTGGGACTCTTTGTGTCCAATTTAGACAAGAGGGACAAATTAAAGCTGAAACAGACAGCCTGATAAAATCTACAGCAAACACTGTGGTTGAATAAGTTCAAGCCTAGTGTCTGATCATAATCTTAAGACTGTATATATATATATATTCCTATGCTGGATGTGTAGAGTTTATGGGGATACCAATTCTGGCAATATGGGATGAAATAAAACGCTTGATATTAGAAAAAAGACTGTTTATTAAGGATAGTACAACATAGAGAAATTGTATGTTAATATAAAACACAAATATAGATTTAAGTACTAAATTTGACATAGGAAAAAGTAGTTTTCCATCTGGATATAGTCTTTGTTTACACGTACCCTCCATTTTCTATTTCATTTTTATTACAAGTATATGGTTGACAACCGTTTTCAATCGGATGAGAACATTTAGACAAGGTAACACAATGAGACACTTTTTTAAGGAACGTGTTGAAATGAACAAGGAGCTGTTGGCTGTCAGAGAAAGGAGTAGACACTGCTGTCAGCGACACGACCGCTCGTGTTTTATGTGTTTTTTAATCAGTATCACTGGTGATATTTTGCTATAACATGTGAAGGGAAGAATAAAACAGAAAAGCTCATCTTTCATAAACATAAAACCTTTCAAATTTCACGTTCAGTACATTGGAATTGAGGCAGAATGAAGTCAGTCAGCTCTTTCTACTGCAGGTGCGCTCCCGACCAGGGGATCTAAATTTTCGCAGCAATAACTACCTTGGCACGACACCCCATGAAAACAATGCTGGTCCCCTCCTGGCCCCCTGGTACATTTGTTCTAGAACCGCCACTGAGGTCTCGGTGCCATCATGGTGTGTTTTACCCCTATCTGATCTCTTTCAACCAAACCTTCCACGGTCGTTTCTACTTCACAATAAATAGCCTGCAGTTAAAAAGTCCAGATCTAGAGCTGCTCGTTTGTCTCTAAGTGAATCCTTTGTTGTGTTTGATTTACAGGATGAAACTTTGAAAGCACTGGGTGAAAAGGTGACAGACGTTCATGCCAGCTGCGTGGGAAACGGGACGACTGACCTCAGCACCTTGGAGAAGTTGGCAGACATCGAGAACTTCCTCTCATCGCTGCTGCAGAATCTGGAAAGCCTGCCTGCAAAACAACTGGCGATTGTTAAGAAGGTGAAGGACAGCGAGAAGAGGAACAGGTATCCCTGAGCAAATATGATCCGTACCAGTAGGAATACAGATGTTTAAACATAATTAGAACTGAAACTATTAATCAGATTAATCGATTGTTTAAATTATCCTCAACTAATTTAGTAATCGACGGATCGGTAAATGGGGTGTGAAGACTCTAAAACATGCCTTTAGCTGACAGAGCCACCCACTTATAGCAGTGAATATACCAAAATTGAAAAGAAAAAAAAAAAAATCCACCATTCACCCACACACTCACACCTAAGGAGGATTTAGAGAAGCTAATTATCCAACTGTTAAAAGGCCAGTCCCGTTGATATAGTTTTGTTGTTCTTTATTGGTTAATTTAGCTGTCAGTCATCCTCACAGCCAGCCAACCGCATTCCAGTTAGAACTTTCTAGGACCGCCCACAGCAACTGCCGTTCGAGTTTACAATCGCAGATCGCTAGATGGTTACACAGACAGCTGTAACGGTAGAAGTTTCTGAAAGAGCTGTGTGTGAATTATAAAGTGAGTAAATAGTTTTAGGATAGTTCTGTGTAATGTTACTGAGGTTTAGTGTAATGTAAAATGAATATATTGATGGTACTAACTATAGCCACGTTCTTGCTAGCTAAACTGTTATATTAGCTTACTGTGGTGTTGTGCTAGTCGAGGCTAATGCTAAAAATAGAGTTAAATGAACTTGTTAGCTTCTGTATGTAGCGCCCATTGATGGCATTTTCAGAGCCGTTCTCTCAGTTTATTAATATTGTGATAGTTGTAAACTTCTATATATTTTTTCTATCTGCATTTAGATGCATGGCTTGTGTTTATATATGTTAAAACTGGTAGTTGTTAAGTAATCGGCTATGTATATGTTTATTATTTGATGCAGAACCACACCTAACTGTATTTTGGAAACTTCTTCTACATAAAAATCCAACACTCAACCTTTTGGAATCTGTCTCTTACTGGACAGCTGCAGTGTGTCTGAATTTTAGCTAATCAGCATCAGTAGAACGGGTGAGGGCTTGCCAGCCAACCGTTCAGGTACGGGTGAGAGCTTCATACAGCTAACCGTATTTTTCATGGTCCTTCGAGCCGGATTCAGACTCGCTGCAGAATAAGATGTTGGATAATTCAGATGAAGAGGAATGTGCCAGGGGCCCTGAGCTACGAGCATCTTATGCCACCGCCCATGGTGACCGAGACCTAGGCTCCATGAGGCGTTCGTCACCACCATACATACAAAGCCGCTATGTAGCGGACGATGAGGTGTGGCGATACTCAGCAGCCCATACATCCTCACCTCCTGTAAGTCAAGCCTCCTATTCACCACCAAGGTGGGTGGTAAAGGACAGTTGGGAAACTACTAAGGAAGAAATGAGGCAAGAAATCGAATACCTCCGTCGTCGGCAAGACGCCCTGCTGTTAGGAATGGCGAGAATGGATATCGACCATTCGGACCATCAGCACCAGCCTAGATATGAAAGAGTGGAGCCGTCCTACCTCTCCCGGTCTTCCTCCACCACACGACCAATCCCAGCACCTCGGCGAAGTAAGGAGAGAGAACAGACAGAACCAACCCGACCTATTCCAGCCCCACGAACCAGGAGACCCACTGCTAACCCAGCACACTCAGGCAGCCCTGGCCCAGAGGCTGGACCACAGGGGCCAGCAAAGGATCGGTCGTCTCACACTGACCAAGACACTTTCTGTTCACGCTCGTCCAGTGCAGACAGGTATAGGCAGGAGACGCCTAGACCGCGAGACTCCACTCACCGCCGAGACTCTCATCGGTCTTACCAGCAGGAGAGCTCATTATTGCCTTCCTACCATCGGCGCTCGCACCAGAGTAAGCAGAGTCCACCCTCACCAACCAGCCATTTGAGGCTGTATAAGGGACCTACGCCAACCATACCAGACTTCACTCATCCAAATCCCAGAGAGTTCTCCCGGATGAAAATAACCCTGGAAAATCTCCTCCCTGAAGATGCAAATGAGAGGTTCAAATTCCAGATTCTCATGGACCATCTCAAATTGGAAGAAGCTCTATTGGTTGCCGACTCCTACTGCAACTCAAGGTCCCCCTATTCTGACACGATGGCCGCTCTTGACAAGCAGTACGGGCAGCCACACCAGTTAGCTCTACAGCGAATCGCTGAGCTGATGGATGGTTCAAATATCACCAGTGGTGACATCAAGGCTTTCAGGCTGTTCGCTCTGCGAGTGCGTTCACTGGTGGGTCTGTTGGAGCAGCTGGGGAGGAAAGGTGAAGTGGAACTTGAGTGTGGTTCACATGTCTCAAGACTGCTAGGGAAACTCCCACATGACCTAAGGTCTAACTTCCGCCATTTTATCCATCCACACCGGACTCCCATTCCCACTCTGCTTGATCTGGCAGACTGGCTGGAATTCGAGATCCAGGTACAGGAGGATAACACAAGGTAGCTCAAGAAGGGAGCTCCCAGCCAGAAGCCGTGACCAACGAAAGGAGGTCAAGCCTGCAGCTCGGACAACCATGGTACTCCTGGGTACTGAGACAGAGCCACCAGGTGCACAGAAAAGGGCTCCTGCTAAAAGAGATAAAGTGAAAATGTACTGTCCGTATTGTGATAGCGGGAACCACACGCTCAACGGTTGTTCCAATTTTTGTTACTTATTGGATCGGATTACCCCCATCTGATAACACCAGTGGAACCAGTTCGTCTTGGGCCGTCCGAAGGGCCAGCCGCCATTAGAACACGCCTTGGATGGACCCTGCAGGGCCCTGTACAGGAACTGAGGCACGACTTCACTGAACAGCAGTGCCTTTTCACTTCTACCTTTCCCTCATCTGTGGACCTGTACAGTCAGGTGGAAAGACTGTGGCAGATGGACGTGCTGCCGTGGCGCAGTGAGAAGACTAGTGTAAGATCACGTCAAGACCAAGAGGCCATCAACCTCCTCGAGGCCAAGACTGTGAGAGTTGAAGTAGACGGGGTTCACCGGTACGCCACCCCGCTCTTGCATGTCAAAAAAATGCCTCAACTGCGAGCGCCAAAAGAGGTGGTGCTTCCGCAGCTAAGGAGCATCGAAAAGAGGCTTGCAAAGGCACCAGATCAAGCCCAAGCCTATAAAGCTGAAATCCAGAAGCTGGAACAAGCTGGCTATGTGGTCAAACTGGCACCTGGTGCTGAAGAGGTCACAGCTACTAGCTGGTACGTCCCCCACCATATGGTGCAACATAACGGCAAGAACCGCATGGTGTTCAATTGTTCTTTTCAGTTCAGAGGTCATAACCTCAATGAGCTCCTCCTCCCTGGGCCAACACTGAGTCCCTCTCTCCTCGCAGTTCTCCTCAGGTTCCGAGAACATTCAGTTGGCATCAGTAGCGATATCCGTGGGATGTTTCATCAGGTGAGGCTTCTCCCTGAAGATAGACCACTGCTTAGATTCCTATGGAGAGATCTGAACCGCAAAGAACTGCCAAGTGTTTATGAGTGGCGTGTCCTCCCGTTTGGCACAACATCCAGTCCCTGCTGTGCAACATTCGCCCTTCAACAACATGCCAGGAATAGCCACCACGCAGGGGACGCCGCCAGGGAAGCAGTCGAGAAGTCGTTCTACGTGGACAACTGCATGATGAGTCTGGCTTCTGAGGAGGAGGCCAAGGCTCTTGTGGACCAGCTTCGACACCTTCTAGCTGAAGGAGGGTTTGACCTGCGTCAATGGGCGAGTAACGTCCCTTCAGTGATCCGCCACCTTCCACCCGAGGCAAGGTCAGACAACGCCGAACTCTGGATCGCTCAAGGGAAGACAGACAATCAAGAATCAGCACTCGGGCTTCACTGGCACTGCCAGTCTGACACCCTGATATACAAGTCCCGCTGTCTTGGCTGCCCCCAAGTCACCATGCGCACAATCTACAAGGTCTTGGCCAGCCAGTATGACCCACTGGGTTATATCGTCCCATACACTACCAGGGCCAAGATGATAGTCCAGCAGCTCTGGGGTAAGAAGAGGGACTGGGATGACCCCCAGTTGCCTGAAGATCTTCTCGCATCTTGGAGAAGGTGGGAGAGTGAGCTACCAGACCTGCAGCAGATTTCCCTACCCAGGTGCTACAGCAGTTGGGAGATGGATTCCATCACCAGTGTCAGAGATATCCATGTGTTTTGCGATGCGTCGGAAAAGGCCTATGGCGCAGTGGCCTATCTCCGGACAGAGGACCCCTGCAGTAAAGTTGAGGTGGCGTTCCTGGCTGCCAGATCAAGAGTAGCACCAAGGAAGCAGCAGTCAATCCCACGCTTGGAGCTATGTGCTGCCCTTAGTGGAGCGCAGTTGGCTAAGGTGCTCTGGACGGAGCTCTCTATGCCCATCCGCCATACCACCTTCTGGTCTGACTCCACTACAGTCCTTATGTGGCTTCAATCAGATTCATGCAGGTTCAAGGTGTTTGTTGGCACGAGGGTGGCAGAGATCCAAGACCTCACAGACCGTGAAGCATGGCGCTATGTGGACACATCAAGTAATCCCGCTGATGACATTACTCGAGAGAAAACTCTAGTGGAGTTAGGTACAAAGAGTCGGTGGTACCAAGGCCCATCTTTCCTTCAAGGGACCTCTGAGCAGTGGCCTAAGAAACCAGTCACTACATCTGCAGAAGGAGATGAGCTCCGACAAACTCTAGTTTGTGGCCTCACCACTGCAGCGCCAGTCTCACACATCCCAGAAGCTAGTCAATTCACCACCTTTGGCAAGCTCCTGGAGGCTACGGCACGCTCCATTCACGAACCAGCAGAAGGGAGCCCCTCCGCCAGCGACTTCAAGGAAGCAGAGACATCCCTTCTCCAGCGAGTGCAGCAAGATTGTTTCCCCACAGATGTGGCACACTTGAAGGCAGGAAAGGTGGTACCCAGCTGTAGTCGCCTGGTCTCTCTTGCTCCAGAGTTCCATAATACCAATCAGTTAATCAGAGTGGGGGGTTGTCTGCGGCACAGCACCCTGCTAGATCAGGATGCTATACATCCTATTGTGCTTGACCCCCGGCACTGGATCACAAAGTTGATCATCAAAGATTTTGACGAGAAGCTATTTCACCCTGGCCCGGAGAGAGTATTCGCCGAAGTTCGGCGCAAATATTGGGTCATCCGTGGTAGAGAGGCCATACGTCGTCATCAGCGAGAGTGTGTTGACTGTCGGAAATGGTGTGGAACCCCCCAGATTCCAAGAATGGCGGATCTGCCCCCGGCTAGACTACGGCTCCACAAGCCTGCGTTTTACACCACCGGAGTAGACTGCTTTGGCCCCTACGAGGTTAAAATCGGCCGCAGGAGTGAAAAGAGATGGGGCATTCTCTTTAAGTGTATGACCACGCGTGCAGTCTACATTGATCTTCTCAGCAGCATAGATGCTGACTCGTTCTTAATGGCTCTTCGAAGATTTGTGTCTCGGCGAGGGAAACCGATGGAGTTATTGTCCGATCAAGGGACAAACTTCAAAGGGGGCGAAAGAGAGTTGAAGGAAGCGTTCGCAGCTCTACAGCCTGAAGTGCAAACCCAACTTGCCAGCCAACAAATCCACTTCGCCTTCAATCCTCCAAGTGCTCCACACTTTGGTGGTTGCTGGGAACGAGAGATCCGCTCCCTCAAGCAAGCTTTGCAGGTCACTCTAGGGGCTCAGTCGGTGACAGAAGAGGTCCTGAGGACAGTCCTCATCGATATTGAAGGGATCCTCAATTCAAAACCGCTTGGCTACATCTCCTCAGACATCTCGGACCCGGACCCCATAACCCCAAATTCTCTCCTTATGGGGCGGCTAGATGCCTCCCTCCCACAAGTCGTGTATCCGGAGTCGGAGATGTTGAGCCGGCGGAGATGGAGACACAGTCAGCTGTTGGCGGACCATTTCTGGAGACATTTTCTGAAGTATTACCTACCTGGTCTCCAAGCACGTCAGAAATGGCACACAGAAACGCCTAACCTCCAGGTTGGCACCCCGGTCATGATTGTGGATCCACAGCTGCCTCGAGCCTTTTGGCCGGTGGGAAAGGTTTCAGAGGTCCTCCCTGGCCCGGATGAACGAGTCAGGACTGTGAGAGTGCGAGTTGGAGACCGCAACTACATGCGTCCAGCGGCGAGGGTCATTCGCCTCCCGTTGCTGCCTGACTAGGATCTCTCCTAATTATTGGGCCTTTTATGTTGATGTGCAGATTTCCATAAGAAATCTGGGGGCGGCTGTTAAAAAGGCCAGTCCCATTGATATAGTTTTGTTGTTCTTTATTGGTTAATTTAGCTGTCAGTCATCCTCACAGCCAGCCAATCGCATTCCAGTTAGAACTTTCTAGGACCGCCCACAGCAACTGCCGTTCGAGTTTACAATCGCAGATCGCTAGATGGTTACACAGACAGCTGTAACGGTAGAAGTTTCTGAAAGAGCTGTGCGTGAATTATAAAGTGAGTAAATAGTTTTAGGATAGTTCTGTGTAATGTTACTGAGGTTTAGTGTAATGTAAAATGAATATATTGATGGTACTAACTATAGCCACGTTCTTGCTAGCTAAACTGTTATATTAGCTTACTGTGGTGTTGTGCTAGTCGAGGTTAATGCTAAAAATAGAGTTAAATGAACTTGTTAGCTTCTGTATGTAGCGCCCATTGATGGCATTTTCAGAGCCGTTCTCTCAGTTTATTAATATTGTGATAGTTGTAAACTTCTATATATTTTTTCTATCTGCATTTAGATGCATGGCTTGTGTTTATATATGTTAAAACTGGTAGTTGTTAAGTAATCGGCTATGTATATGTTTATTATTTGTTGCAGAACCACACCTAACTGTATTTTGGAAACTTCTTCTACATAAAAATCCAACACTCAACCTTTTGGAATCTGTCTCTTACTGGACAGCTGCAGTGTGTCTGAATTTTAGCTAATCAGCATCAGTAGAACGGGTGAGGGCTTGCCAGCCAACCGTTCAGGTACGGGTGAGAGCTTCATACAGCTAACCGTATTTTTCACCAACAGTCACGCTTTTTAACTTTTTGAAGAAGCCGGGGTACCCGAAGAGAACCTACACATGCTCAGGGAGAACATTCAAACTCCGTGCAGAAAGACCCTGGGCTGGGAGTCAAACCCGGAACCTTCTGGCTGCAAGGCAGCAGTGCTACCCACTGTTCGCTGGTGAAGATTCTCAGTCATCCAGGTTATAGTCATTCCAAAAAAGAAAACTAAAAACAATCCACTGGACTTTGTTTCCAAGTTTGAAGATGTTCCGCTTCCCATCCAGGAAGCTTTTTCAATTCAAAATGTCAGGAATAGCGTTGCGTTTGAGGTTTTATACAGTTGCCCAACAAAACCTTGTTTTTGTTTTTGAAAGCGTGCAAATTGAAACGGAAGAAGGGCTCCACCCCTTTGGAATGGAGGTCGTCTGGCTTATTTTGCCTGCAATGACCCATACCCTGCTGCTTGGTCCTGCCACCTGGTCCGTGTCCCGTAAAAGTTCCAGAGACCGTCCGCACGAAGAACAAAATGGTGTAAATTGGCTGAAAACATTGTTCGGTTAGCGTAAACTTAAGAAAAACAGCTTCAGTGCAATTCTTTCCATCTAAAATCGCCGCTGACTTTTCATGTGAAGCAGGAGGACTACAGATTGAGCTGTTTGTACTACAAGTCAGGGTAATCGTGACGTCACATCCGGCCACTGGGACATTCCCTTTCCGTGTAGCCGTCTTCTGTTAATTTGTTTTTGGCTATGTAAATGTGTTTTGCCACTTGCAGTTTTGTCTTTGCACTTGTACAAGTGTTTCCGAACGGTCAATTTTTTTTTAGATGTAAATTTGTTTCCCTATAATGTATTTTTTTTCTCTAAAATGAAACTTTCTCTCACCTAAAATCTAACTTATTTAAAATGTGAATTTGTTTCCTTAAATGTAAATGTGTTTTTAAAAATTTTAACTTTTTTTTTCAAAAATAAATTGTTTCATAAAATATAATTTTGTTTCTTCAAATGTTATTTTGTTTTTTATTTGTTAATGTGTTTTTGAATTGTAAATGTGTTTTTAAAAATTTAAACTTTTTTTTTCAAAAATACATTTGTTTCATAAAATATAATTTTGTTTCTTCAAATGTTATTTTGTTTATTTGTTAATGTAAATTTGTTTGCTAAAATGTAAATTTGTTTTTAAAAATTTAAACTTTTTTTTCAAAAATACATTTGTTTCACAAAATATAATTTTGTTTCTTCAAATGTTATTTTGTTTTTTATTTGTTAATGTGTTTTTTAATTGTAAATGTGTTTTGCACTTCTCAGCCACCGTAGGGAAGGGATTAACTCTATCGCTGCATTTTATGGTTTTTTAAATCTGAAACCTGATTCCACCCCCTCTGTTTAAAGGTTGTTTTTTCTCAACATAGATGGCTTCCTTCCTCTCAAACCACCTATTTTCTTTTTCCAAAATGTGAACATTCTGGTCCTCAAAAGAATGTCCTTTGTCCATAAGGTGTAGATGGACCGCAGAGTCTTCTCCCGAGGAGGTTGATCTTCTGTTTTGGGCCATGCGTCTGTGAAAAGGTTGTTTGGTTTCTCTGTTCCACTGACCAGCCGCAAATATTTTGCATTGAAGATAAAAATCTTAATCTGTCAATATGCTCTATCCAGAACTCCTCAAGTTGAAAAGTTTTAGATTCACCTGGTTTCATTTAGCAAAAATCTGTTCTTTAAGGATACTTTGGCTGTCCGATTATGAGTTTATAATCAAAAAATAATCGACAAATTGATTTGCAACAATCTTAAGTTGCAGCCCTAAATGTAATTCAACATGCAGTCACAGGGTTTTTTTTTTTAGACCCTTTTTTTCTCACCCGATGATGCAGGATGCGTGAGGAAAAGCTGATGGAGCAGAGAGAGAAACAAAAGGAACGGATGAGGAGGTATCTGGAGAGATCCTTGGCTGACTCCAATAAGAGAGTATGTCCTTATATCGGAATAATATCTAAACTTCTTCATTTTCCAATAATCAAAAAAATTATTGCTGTCATATGAAATCTACCTTTTGACAAACCTTACAAACATTTATCAAACTAAAGTTCCTAACGATGTTTTTACACATTTCATAGAGGGGGAAGAAGCTGATGCCAAGATACATGCCTGCTGTCAGGAGAGCTGAGGTCCCCAAAGTGGTCGAGGCAGCGGCGGAGGATGACTTCAGTGAATTCCTCTCCACATCTGACGACACGGAGTAACAAAAGAAAGACAAAGAGATGCAGAGGAACTTTTTCTACAGAGACAGGAAAGGGATTTCCTTTAGAAAATGATCCTGAGGTTTTGTCAGACTCAAGCAGTTTAATATCTAATATTTGAATTTACAGAGGTTTCATATTAAAGGTATGGAGGAAGATCTTTTATTTCCAGGTGGATCATTTAAATAATGGGTCGTCCTAATTGTCAATGATTCAGGTTTACATAAGGCCGTCCTACGTACTTGTTCCGTTCGCTATCTTTTTGTGCAAATGTGCACTTTCAGCAGTATATCTGTGGTGAGCTACGGTTTTAGTCATTGAAGCTCACCTTTTTACCACAGTTCTTTAAAAATGTCCGAGGGTTGTCAGAGAAAAAGTGTCTAAGAAGTGTATGAGAAGAAAAGAAAGACCTCACAAGGGGCAGAATTCTTTGCACGGAGAGCTCTCCTCTCAAAGTATTATGAGATCTGCTGTCAAAGCGGCCCACTGTCACCATAGGCTGTCGCTATCCGACAGTGGCGACTAATAATAAGGATGGCGCAGGCACCGCGTAGTGGAGGAGGAGTTATGTGACCAACGGGGAGCAAAAAGCAGTGATTATCTGTCTGAACGGTCAGTTAACTGAGTTTGCTAGAAAGTCCACTATATAATCCCCGCTGTATGTGGACACAGAGAACAGCACATTTTGAACAAGGGCGTGCACGAGGAGTAATGGGCTCGTGCACACTCTTGCCCACGCATTATTTTTTAAGTGGAGAGAGCAGGTCTTTTAAAAGATCTTCCACAATACCTTTAATGTGTTACTTTCATTGACATATTTATTCACTCTCCTTTCTTCTCTTTTAAAAATTAACAACTATTCCATTACATTCATCATCAGTGTGTCTTCTAGTGTTTCCTCTGAGATGGAGGTGCCTGCCTCCCCTGGGCCCTGGGGCCGGCCCCCTGGTGGCTGTAGTTGATCCGCTGCCCTGGTGCTGGTTTCTTAATTTGGTTCATCTATTCTCAGCCTTGTTAAGAGCTTTTCTTCAGTCTGCCAATATCTCTGTTGGTCTGGCTGTGTGCTCCCTGTGTATGTTTGTGAAGGGTGGGTACGAGTGTTATTATGTATAGTCTATGTTGGATGGCCATTGGTAATATTTTTAATTATGGAAAGTAGTTTTAACTTAAATATATTAAGGTCATTTAGAAATAAAGTTTAATTTGATAGATAAAACTTTATTTCCTCCTTACCAGTAAGTGGCACGCTGGTGCTCCGCTCTCCTTATGTCCGCTCTCCTTATGTACTGTACGAGGTGTAATTCTGTTGGAGTTGAGGAATGCCGCAGGTATAGATCTAATATAATTCATTATTTGCTTTTCAAAAATAGATAAGAGGCGATATTTGAGGGCTACAAGTTATATATGTTTATATGTTAAGCTGAATCTGGGATGATTTGTTTTTGTTTTGTTTTTCTCATTTCATAGCTCTGCTTATCAGTTGTGTGTATTTCAGTAGTTGTCATGATGGGTCTAATTTGTTTGACCAACATGCAGAAGCACTTCACAGAGACCTAAAAAGATTTAACAGTTTATTGTCAGGAACTGTACACCAGACATGTGCAATGTGGAGTCAACAAGTCATCTCCATGTCATGTATTTGTTCTACCCAGCTACTTAAGCAGGTGAGTCCAATCTTCACCGTGAGTTAACCTGTGCAGATTGGACTCACCTGGTTAATTGGCTGGGTAGATTAAATACATGACATGGAGATGACTTGTTGACTCCACATTGCCCATGTCTGCTGTACACAGATAGGTAAAACAGTTCTCCAGCTTGGGGACGGTTCCAGTGGTCTGGTGAACCGGAAGCGGAAGCTCTAGGAGGACATCAGAGTTCAAGGACTGTGGGAAAACTGGCCAAAGGTCTGAATACTAGGTTTCTTGGACTTACTGTGGTAGTTGGGGAGGTTTTCTGAGATCCCGTTTGTGGAGGCTTGGTCTGTAGATGGCTTGGTTTGTTGGAGGGCGGACAGGCAGACTATGGGAATCCTGAGGAGCAACTTAGCAGACTAACTTTTGGTTCCTGAAGGACTCAGCGTTCAGATGAGGAGACCTGTCTCCTTTTCTCAGTGTGACGAGAGTTTCCCTTCCAGACTTGAAGGGCTAGCTTATCCAGAGGATCTGGAAAATCCTGCCGGAGAATCAAAGACAAAATAAGGTTAGGACTGAGGAGCTCTGAAGACACTGAAGACAGTCTGCTAGTTAAATACTCCTCAGGGACTGATAAACCAATAGGCTGCAGGTTTGAGGTGAGAAGAACAGGAATACCCTCCAGACCAGCAGAGGACAATGGCACCATCTAGTGGGTGCACAGTGAAACTGCAAAAGAACATAAACAAGCCCCACAAACTGGAATCCTAACAGTAGTGTTATGTTTTTGTTTTTTTTATTGTGTCCTATCTTATATTGTAAATGGGTTGTTGTTTGATGTGAAGGGCGTACACGAATACAGGCATTGTTCTTCTGTCTGTCGATAATTTTCCTGATGATGCTGTTTGATAAATGACTGAATAAATAAAAGTAACAACAAATTATACTTTGGATCATCTGTATTTGGTGATTATATAACAGAATGTGTACACTAACTGGTTTTGTCTTACAAACTTTGGTTTATTGAGACCAGCAGGACTTTTTATTTTATGTTATCTGATAGTCTGATAGTTTTCTACTTTTACATTCAACAGAAAATCCAGTCCTCCAGTTTGGTTGAATATATATTTTGGGATTGTATTCAGTAAGTTTATTTTCTTTTTTATTGTTGGTGATATCCAATGTATTTCTATAGATATTATCAATATTATTGGTAGCAAAAGTCAAGAGGACCTTTAACCCATAATCTGCATTCTGGTTACAGAGTTTATCCCTTTTTAAATAGTAGACTTGTTCTTCCATATGAAACTTTATAAAAGGGTCCATTTGTTTTTTTACAATTCTATTGGACAGTTCATCGATAAAGAAATAAGATTTGACCTTAAATATGTCTTTACTTAAGTGTATTCATTGATAATTTAAGCAGATTAATACGATTATCTGCCGAAGGAATGAGTAATTTTGCCGTTAAACTAAGTAATGACATATTACGCACTTAAAATGACATATTGGGGAAAAAAAATTCTCATTTGAAATGCAAAATTATATTTTTTATTGGCAAATAGCTTTACCTATATGCTTAATTTAAAGTAAAATAACCTTTTATTAAGAAAAATTCACTTATACTTATCTAAATTTTTTGTAGCGTCAGATTTTAGAAAAGGAGCCATAACAGGGGTCGGAGTCCCTGTCCTAAACCGCCTGTTATTATAACTAGCTATATTTAATTGGACTCATTTTTCACTAAAGATTTCGCTGGAAAAACATGAATGAAAGTATGAATGTGAAAGTAAAATCTTTTGGGCTCTTTTTGGCATCAAGACAATTATTCTTATTGCCACATTGCCTGACAGGACACTGTTATAAAAAAAAAAAGGAAAAACATGAATGAAACATGAAATAAAAAATATTTCTAAGGGAAGAGTTTATTTACAGAAATATGAATTAGCTATGAATTTATTTCACACTCCAGCACAGTAGATGGTGATAAACATTGTCTTCTTCTTTAAATATTTTTTTTGGCGGTTGGCAAACAGCAGATTGATGCATTTCCACCTTCTACTGGAATGGAGTGTGGACCAGAATGACTCTCAGGAGCTAAATTCTATTATACAAATGTGTTATTTTTAGATATCGAAATATTATTCTTTAAATGTTACTGTCTGAATAACTTCTGAATAATTCAAATAAATCTAATTTCACTTTTACATTACTTAAATTAAATTTTTTTTTAAAAGATTTTGAATTAATTGCTGTCTCTCCTCCTCATATTTATTACAGTACGTGTTCAATTGTTTCATCTACCCAACAATATTCACATTTACCATCCCTATGTTTGCCTAAGATAAACGGAGTACTGTTTAATCCAGTGTGACCAAATCTCAATCGAGAAATAATTGTTTCTTCTCTTCTTGTGTTTCCTGTTCTTCTTATTTCTCCAACGTCCTTTTTTTTCCTTTCTCCCATTCCTTTTGCCAATTTATACTTTATTTTCTGCTTGATTATCATTTTAACGATTTAATAAAATGAATAATTAAATCCACTGACAAATTTCTAACAGCTTCTTTTGCTGCCTTATCTACCTGCTCATTTCCTTTAACCCCATAATGTGCTGGTATCCATACAAGATGTATTATTAAACCCATCATATTTATTCTATGTAGTGTCTGTTGAATTGCTATTAAAATATCTGGCTTGCTTTCTGAGTGATTAAACTGCAAACTAATTGAGGATAAATTAGAATCTGATTAAATAACTGATCGTAATGGCTTAAATTCTTCAACCCATTGAATAGCTAATAATAGTGAAATAATTTATCCTGTATAAACTGAAAGTCCATCACTTGTTCTTTTCTTAATTTTAACATTGAATTCTGGTAATATGAAAGCTACTCCTATTTGATTTGTTATATTTTTAGAACCATCTGTATAAATTTTTACATAACTATAATATTTGTTCATATATTCCTGTACTATATATGAGTTTAATATGAATTCCTTATCCTTTCTTCTTTCAACAAAGTAAAATCTACATTAACATCTGGAATCATCCATGGTTTTATAACTGACAATGGAACTTTTTGGCTTATATTAATCTGATCTATTTTGAATTCTGTTATTTTTTTTCCTGCACAATCCAGCCAAAACTTCTTATATCTTTTGCTTCTTTTTCCCAACAACGTTGAATTACCTGCAGAGTTGGATGATCCTTTCTATGACCTTTTAAATTAGCCCAATAATTTAATGTTATTTGCTGTCTTCTAAATGCAAGTGGGATTTCTGCCATTTCTACCAATAAGGCTGCTGTTGGAGTAGTTTTAATTGCTCCTGTACATAATCTTAATGCTTCATACTGAATGCGATCCAGTTTCTGTTGATTTGTCTATAAACAGTGCTTCCATAATCTGTTACTGATCTAATTCATCCTGTATTTATATTATTTAGTGCTATTGTATGTGCTCCCCACTCCTTACCAACTAAGCATCTCATAATATTTAATACTTTCTTCCATTTGTCTAAAACTTTTTGAATGTGTATATTCCATGGCATTTGTTCATCAAACCAAACCCCTAAGATGATGCCACCGCTAATAATGCCAAGAAGAAGAAAATGAATGGAAAGGAGAGGAAATAACCTTTCTGGGACAGTAGATGGCGCTGTATCCTGTCTGGCCATAGCATAGCAGCCAGAGAAGAAGAAGGACGAGGAAATAATTGTTATTTGTTATGTTGAGGAAAATGAAACCCCTAGCTATTATTTTATGTTTATTTTATTTATTTGTTTATTCTATTTATTTATTTATTTATTTATTTATCATTTTTTACCTTATATGTCTTGTCTTTCTTAAAGTTATTCTTTCACCTATAATTGTCCAATGTTTCACCAATTGTTGTATATCTATGCTTGATGTTTGATTAATTCTGTAATGTTACATGGAATTCCCAATAAAGCATTAAAAAATTGTTTATTTATTTATTTTGTGTGTGTGGGGGGGGGGGTCTTTTTTCCTGTTTCTTTGGTCTTTATTTAACTTAGCTTTAAAACTAGTTTGACAACCGCCATAAAACCTCAAAAGAAGAAGAAAAAGGAGGAGGACCGACTTCTTGTGGGATGGAAGAGGGAAATAGTGACAATGAAGGTTGGAAGATAGCAACATCAAAAAATGAGAAAAAGCGGAAAAAACAGAGATCAGTTCAAGGGGAATCTAGTTCAGAACAATCCAGTGATGATCATTCCATACATTCCACAGCACAACAAAATGAATTCAAAGTCATATTCAAAGTCGTTAATCAGGCAGACTCTTTTACAAATTGGAATCCGGTTCACTTAACAAAAACCATCAATAAACTTGTCGGAGAAGTCAGAGGTGCCAGAATTCTGTACAGTGGAGACCTGCTAATTATCTGCAGAGACAGCGCCCAGCAAGGCAAAGCAATACGGATCAACAAAATTGACGGGATAAGAGTTCAGTGCAGCTTAATGGAGAACAAAAAGTTCAGCAGGGGAGTCATTGGAGGAGTTCCTCTAAAAATTTCTGAAAAAGAGATTCTGGAAAACATAAGAGGTGCAAAAGTAAAAGAAGTAAAACGGTTAAAAACAACAAGAAACGGAGAAAGATCTGACAGTTTATCTGTGCTAATTAAATTCGAAGAAGAGCAATTACCAAGCAAAGTATTCATCGGTTACATAAGCTATAATGTCAAAATCTACAATCCTCCACCATTGAGATGTTTCAAATGCCAAAAATTCGGTCACATTGCAGCAGTTTGTAAAGGGAAACAGAGGTGTGGAAGGTGTGCAGGAGAACATGAGTACGGAAAATGTGGAAAAGAAGCTAAAATAAAATGCTGTAATTGTGGTGGAGAACATACTGCTGCCTATCGCGGCTGTGAAGCAAGCAAAAGGTCTGAGGAAATTAAAAAAATGAAATTTGAGCTCGGAATAACCTACGCTGAAGCTGCAAAAAGGATCCCATCTCAGTCAGAAAAACCCAAACCTACAGTTCAACACACAGCAAATTCCAAACCTCTAGAGAAATCTCTAAAAATTGATGAAGACTCACTTATTGTTAAAAAGACAAATTTTGTTCTTTTCATGGTAGAAGTTATTAATTGTACTGCACAGACAACAAAAAAAACGGAAAAAATCAAAATAATAGTGAAGGCTGCAGAAAAATATCTGGACATTAAAGATTTGAACTGGGAGATGGTTGGAAGTATGATGGGAGGACCGATGGGACCATCAGAAACTGGCAGAGTTAAGATGACCTAGAGTAAATTAAAATTATATGGGCAAATGTGATTTAGTATTATGTTGGTTTAAGTTACACAGGTTTTTTTTTTTTTTTTTTTTTTTTTTTTTTTTTTTTTTTTTTTTTTTTTTTTGGGGGGGTGAATCGTTTCCTGTTTTCTTGCTTTACTCCATATCAGTTGGTGGCGGTAATGCACAATTCACAAGTCTGCCAACCGCCATAAAATCCCATAAGAAGAAGAAGAACGACCAGGAAGTGGTCTGATCTAAGGACTGGAGATGATGAAGATGATTGTGATGATGATGATGTCTCTGTGATGCAGCTTTCAGCAGAGCAGCCAGAGAGCGGGGATCGCTGACAATGAGATGGGGAACTGCTGGGCTTTCTGCGTGGGCCTCTTCAGGAAGGAAGCTAACAGGATCCAGAGAGGAGGCGGGTAGGTGAAGGAGCCGTTAGCAGGCTGAGCTAACTAGGCTGGAAGCTGACCCGCTGTATCCGGCCGGCCCACTGATAGCTGAGCCCGATAAGTGACACCGCAGAATGTGGATGAAGGCTTTACAGTAGTGGCCTGATTGGATCAGATGTTTATTTAAACGGGTCAGTGAATGTTTTGGGTCTCAACCTGCAGCCAGTCGGTCGGTCTCTGGAGGAATAAAGACCCCACCCTATTGTTGACAGCTTGAGTACACAGTGGGGATCAGAAGGTTCCCCTCAGATGGATTTGAAGGTGCTTTATTTCCTTCAGTCTGGATCATACTTTTCCCTTTATTTCACCTCTAAAGCAAACACCATAACTGTCAACCTTCTGGGAGTAACCTGCCCTCCCTCCCCTCCAGCCAGTCCTTCATTACTGTATTTTTATTAATATTCCACTGTTGCACAGTCTGCTAGGAAGCCTCTACCTGAAGATCTCATCACCTCATAATGAAGACATCTCACTGGAGTAATGGAAGAAATGTTTAGTCAATGTTACTTTATCCAAATGTATTAAAGACCTAAGATAAACAAAATAACTCTATGATGTCCTGGACAGGGCAGCCTTTTACAGCTGCTTTTTGTATCTCTGCTTCTGTCTCCTTGAACCCCAGTCGCCTCGGCAGATGGCCGCTCACACTGAGCCTGGTTCTGTTGGAGGTTTCTTCCTGTTAAAAGGGAGTTTTTCCTCTCCACTGTCGCTACAAGCATGCTTAGTGTGAGGGATTGCATTTGAATCAATGAGTCGATGCAATCATCTGGTTTTCCTTAGATAGAAAACTTTTAATATATTTGACTGGATGATCTGTTGAACTGTAGAGTGCCTTGAGATGACATGTGTTGTGAATTGGTACTATATAAATAAACTGAATTGAATTGATGTTGTCTCTAAATGTGTTTCAGGTCAAAATACTTCAGAAGTACTGCTACTGGAGAGCATTATACAATAGAGGTAGGACCTGTCAGTGTCGCTGATTCCTTTCAGTCGTAAATATTTCATGTAACTTTACTTTTATTGTTTCTTTTATTCTTCTAGTTTGAAAATCTGGTAGAGAGCGATGAGGTGAGTTGATTTTCTTTTTGTTTGTTTCGATTTAGTTCTTAGTATCTGATAATGTGATTTCCCAGAAGAATTTCCTTCCCTTTCCAACCTTTTTAACATAGTTTGCCTCCCTAACCAACTTTTATTTATTTTCGGAGGAAAAAGTTTGGAGAAATATCAATAAATGTGTTTTACGTATAATTAACAGAAAGGTTTGTAGTATTGACTCTAGGGCTGCAACAAGCGATTATTTAGCAAATTGATTAATCTGTTGATTATTTTTTCAATTAATAATCGGATAGCCAAAAGTTCCCTAAAGATGATTTAAAAAAAAAAATTAAACTAGGGGAAATTAAAACCTTTCCACTTGAGGAGTTCTGAACAGATCATATTGACAAATTAAAATGTTTTTTTATCTTAAATACTAAATGTTTATATTTTTTTTTACAATTTTGGTATAATAATGCTTTAAGAGGGCCGCTCTGTCAGCTAAAGGCATGTTTTACAGTCTCTATAATCAATTTAATGAATAAATTAATGAATAAATTAGTTGATTATTATTTCAATAATCGATTAATCCAATTAATTAATTCAGCCTTAATTTACTCCTTTTCAGTTCCAACTTTGGGTGTTTTGGTTTAGGTCTCTGCTAGCTTTGAACTTCCATGGAATAAAATCTTTTTCCCTTTATTTCTCCGGGCCGATCGGATAGGGATCCATTTAAGGCTGTAGATTCTCTGTCGGATTTAGGACTGGACTTTATACTAGCTCAGTCTAGCACAATATTATGCTGGGATGTTAACTAGAGGTGACCAGATGTTTTAGACTTAAACAACTTTTATTGTCATTTTGTACACATAGGGTGTATACAAAACAAAGATTTCGTCAAGTACAGCTTGCCAGACAGTAAATGAACATTTCCAATCCATAAAATGCAGCAGTGATCAAATGTAAACAGTGTGGGAGAAAAAAACCATGGTGCAAAGAAACACATTGTTATGGAAGTAATATATATGATGCAAATATGCAGTATTCCTGGTTTGGTGTTATCAGTGTGATGTGGAGTCTTTGACATGATTTACTGTTTTTTTTTACCATGCTGGCATGAAGATAACATGGATGTTTGGACTTAAATAATATCACGCATTGTTTAATGAAATGTGTTTTCTTGCATGCATTCATACCTGGCTTTATGTTCAGGCTTGAAAACAGGCATCGTTTCCGGGTTTTCTCTGATTTAGCTCCATGTTTCTTCCCATCAACTCCGACCCTGTCAGGGTAAAGTTGTCCTGATGAGGAAATTTGAATGATAACGATACCCTGGAAAATATTCAATACTGCATACCATATTTTCTTGCCATGGAGAGTAAAAAATGACCAATTGATTAAAGTCATAAAGAAATCGTTTTACTAACGTTTTAATGTTGGAACATACTTTCTCAACAGGACCACAGCCGAACACTGATCTTTAAAAAGCCCATTTTGACTGATGTCAATTTCTCTTAGTTTATAACTGACACCATCAGTTGTTATAAGATTATAACACACCTTCAGGATCTCCATTCTCTTTTACTGTCCATTAGGTGGTGCTCTGAAAAATAAATGCAAAGTTCAGAGCATTACCTGTGGGGGATTTTTAGACCTGTGCAGAGCTAGATGAGATCAATCGATTGGTTTCACATCCAGTTATCGGCTGATCATCGATTTTCCAAAATAGAGGCTGACCAAGTTGGTTAGCCCCTATAAGCGTGCATATAAAAAACCCAATTTTAACTCAATTTGACAAAGATTTAGGCTTGGAGGAGGTTCTTTTATTTTAAGGTGTAAATAATCCAGAAATCTCAAATTAATATTAGCAAAAAGAGGATAACACTTGTCTTTAGTATGTATACTGTGCAGAACTATGTCAATATTCCTAACAGCCGTGCTTCAGAATGACCTGCAGTGTTTTCAGTCACTCAGAGGTTTTCATGCGTCCCAGATGGTTTCATTGCTTGCTGTGTCCACCTTCATGTGACTTGTCTTTTTCTTCTTGACATTCTTCTGTAGAGCTCAGATGTCTGATGGCAACTGCCTGGACTGTAAAGCAGGAGAAAAACTGCTAAAAAAAAAAAAAAAATCTAATTTGTGTTACACTTTATTTTAAGAGTGTAAAGTTTTTCAACTTTGCCACAGTTTTTTGTGTGTGTGTGTTTTGTGATAGTAATGGCAGGTTTGCATTGTGGAATAATACTCTACCTTTAGATGTTTATGTATGAGAGTTAAAGCTACATGGGGAGACGTCACTGAAAGCAGGACAGACAGGATGCCTGAGAAGACTTTTTACTTTCGCATCATCATCAGACCTCCTTATTGGATATGGAGTGATTTTTGTTCCATTATTGTTGCAAGAAACAAGCAAATTCTTTTTCCATTTTTAAAATTTTAATGAATGTTAGATGAAATTGCAATCCAGAAATTAAACATCAAAAAACGTCTTATGTCTTACGTCTTATGCTGTTTCCTTTGATTTTATTTATCCATTTTCTCTTTCCAAATTTTTTTTTACAATTTCTTTAGATTTCATAGTTTCAAATCTACCTTTTGTATTTTCTATATATTTTTTTTTCTTCAGATTGAGTTCTTTTAAGTTGCGTTTTACAGATTACTTCACCTCCAATCCAAACAATTGCTCTTGACTAATCAAAATAATGCTAATGACGATACGGACAAGTAGAAATTTGTCTTTGCTTCATACTCCAGTGGAAAGAATGTGATCCGTGAAAACTAAACAGGAAAATTCTATTAAATTTACTTTGAAAAATAAAATTGGAAAAATGACATTTTAAAAAGAACATCAAATGTGAGAAGTCAGCAAAATTAGCCTCAAAACTTTTTTTTCTTTTTATTTATAGAACCTGTTCTTTGCATCCAATAATAGACCAAAAATCACCCCATAAATGTGATCCTTATTTTATGATAAAGAAAAATAACGACATGAATTGGAGCAGATAATTTGTTTTTACTCTGTTTTATAAAAACTAACTAAATGTATTGTTTGCTGCATTGCAGGCTGAGAGCCCACAGCCGTGCCCCAGGTAAGAATTCAGGGTTGAACCTAACGGCTCAGCAGCTGTCCTCCTTATTTAAAGGCATCATTGTCGTCCTGTTTTATATTTAGGCCCATCAATGAAGATGAACTGAGTCACCTCAAAGAGCACCGCTACGCCGCTATCTCAGACAAACAAGTCCTGATCGACCAAAAGCTGCAAGCAGAGGTGAGACATTTTAGTTCTTTGTTTTTTGTTTTTTTTATATTCCAGCTCCCATTATTTGATTTCATGCCTTTAGTCCCGTTTTGGCTTCTTTTCATTTGCAGCATTGCTTTATTTTCTGTTTTGTAACTTTCTGTTTTGTTTTTAATTTGTTTATTTCTGTTCAGTTAGAGGAACAAGAGGAGAAGTTAAGGCTAGAAGAGGAGGCTAGAAATGCTGCCCAGCGCGAGGCCGCCAGGCTGGCTCGTGAACGAAAAATGAAGGAGGTGAGGCGGTACTGAGCGCTCCCTTCTGCTAGCTTACCTTACCAATCTCCTCTAACCTGGCGTCCCTCTATGAGGGCCATTAAAGTCCTCCTCCTTTTTGTTTATGTTTTTGCTGTTTGTGTTTTGTCCTCATCAGCTTGGTTATTCAGGGTTTCCGTGGGTCATTAAAAAACATTAAGTCATTAAATTATAATTTTTTCAATTAAGGCCTTAATTGGCATTAAAATTAATTAAATGTGATTATTGTGGCATCTAAAAGGCTTTATTTAAAACAAAAAAACAATTGCTTCAGATATATAATATTAGATATAACTGGCCCTGTGTGTTTGCGCGGAACTGCTTCTGGTTGATTGTAAAGCCAAAGCTAGAGAATGGGGAAAGTGCACATTTCAACAAAAGTGCCTGAAAAACGAGGATTTCTGCCCATGACTGCAGCCTGTCGATGGTAAAGATGACGAAGGATTTTGCTGTGTTATATATATAGCCATGGGTACTTAGTAAAATTTGTTCTAAGAACATTAAAAAGCATTAAATTAGAGTTTCTCATTCCTGTATAAACCCTGTTATTACACAAAGCAGCTACGGTTAAAGGCTAGTTATTTGCCTGTTTGCAGTATTTAAATCTTACCTATCTTTTTAAAAAGTCGGTATTAGATGGATAAATAGTTGACTTCCTATTTTTTCCAGATTAAAAAACTTTTCGCTTTCATTTGTGCAGCAATAGAGATGCAACTATATGAAAATCTAGGCCGATATCAACTGTCATGGCTGATAATAAAATTTAATTTACAGATATAAACCGTATTTTCTGGACTATAGAGCGCACCTCACTATAAGCCGTGCCCACTAAGTTTTTTTGAAAAACCTGGAAACGTACATAATATGATGTGCAACGGGCTATAAGTTCAACTGTCTCCCACCAAACCTGTAGGGGGAGCTCTACATATAACACCTGCACTACGGAAGAAGAAGAATGCTAGCTTCCGTTAGCTTGTTGCTCGCAGCAGTAGGAACTTCTACTGAAACATGGCGCTTCATCAGTTCTTTATTTCATCTCTGCAGGAGTTGAGCCCAGTCTCTTCATTGGTTCAGCAGCTTTAATGCAGCAAATAAATGTCAAAATGTGTGAATAGGGAACATTTGTTTTACATCATGCCTGCTGCTAGCATGTTCTTTTGGTAAATGAAAATTAGCCCGTTATTCTTTTTTTTTTGTCTTCCCCCTTTGGTGGTTAGGAAAAATGCACAGAAAAACTGTGCCTTCTTATAAGCGTGGGGGAAAGTAGCGGCTTATATTCCGGAAAATACGGTATATCTCTAACCTTTTGACATCATGAAAGGCCAACGACAGTGCTGACATCCAGTCCTTCTTCAGCTTATAGCCCACACTGCATCACAACCTCTGTCACATGACCGGTCCCCCCTCCCTGACTCCCTTCTTCCTGAAACAAAACCAGCAGCATTTAAATGGAAATGAAAAATACTTCATATTGGCCCAGCATTAGTCTTTGGACAGATCCAGATCCATCTGATACTGACATTAATGTGCATATAGCGTGCATCCCTAATTAGCAGCGAGGAACTGCAGCTCCATGGTTTCCTTTCCATTCGTTTAGGACTGCTAAAGCTGCATTTTTCCTGTTCTTTTTATTGCTTTCCTTACTTTTTCCTAGTCTGAAGTTGTTCAACTTGTTTGCAAGAATGAAACTGAGTGGAAAAGCATCAGTGTGAAGTGTTCTGCTTTTTATTCTCTGGCTCTGCTCACATGTTCCCTCCAGAACACCCACATTCTGAAGCCTATTCAGACTGATGAATCCTGCTTTTATTCCGCCAGCAGTGAGGTATTTGTGTTGTTTTGCGTTTGCAGCTGTCCGCCCAGAGGACACGGGGGAAAGCTGACGGCTCCAGCGCTGAAACACAGCAGAGAAAGTGAGTTACTGAAGTTCTGCTGCTTCCTAGAAAGCTAGCACACTGAGGGCAAGATCAAGTGCAGTGTGATCACAAGGTTCAGCAGAGGATCTGGGGGTAAAATAGACATTAAAAGGGAATTATTTGACAATAATCCTCCATAGCAATAATGGACTTTTAAAAGACTTTTAAAAGGGCAATTTATTGTGACATTGAAATAAGAGACTGTGCTCTACAGTTTCACACTCTTCACGTTTGGTGTTACTCAAAAAAAAAAAGAGTTATACTATGTGTATCCTGGCCAAAAAAAATGTAAATCATTTTATTTTCCCACAACGGAGAAATTAACTTCCTGTATTTTAACCCATCCCCTTGGGGAGCAGTGGGCTGCCATTGTGCAGCACCCGGGGAGCAGTGGGGGGTTAAGGGTCTTGCTTAGGGACCCAGAGTGGCAGTCTGTGGGAATGAGTGGGACTTGAACCCAAAAGCTGGTAAACTCTGCTCTGCATATCAGCCGATTCAGCTTTGAAAGTTACAGGTTTAGGTTTAGGCCTTAACAGGTTTGGGAATAGGGTAACTGTCAATGAAAACATATACATAAGTTTCTAAATTTAAACACTTAAGACAATAAATTTAAGATTTGTTTAAACTCCTCACTGTCACCTTATATACAATAGGGGAGTGATGGCCAATGGTTAGAGAAGTGCGCTTGTGCTCTGAGAAGGTTGCAAGTACCCGGTTTGATCCCCACAGCCTGGACTCTGGGTTCCTAAGCAAGACTTTAACCCATCTCTGCTCCCTGGGCACTGCACAATGGCAGCCCACTGGGATGAGTGAAATGCAGAGTTAATTTTAATAAAGGGATTAACATTTTTTTTTATACATACATGTAACATTAGATCTTTCGTCTGTGAGATTACAAGTTACAGATTTGCAAAAATGCAACTACAAAACTCACATTTAAAGGTACAGAACTCAATTTTCCGAGTTCAAATCCTCATTTTTCATATATAGATCTAAAAGAACCGAGGTGAAGCTGTGTGACTGCTTACTAGTTGGTGGCAGTAATGCACCTGAAGGTTGTTCCAACTAACATTAAACAAGAAGAGGAAAACAACAAAACCATCAATCAAATATCTTGCTAAATATTGCTTTCAACGTGTCACAACCCGATCCATACCATCAGCTCATTTGCGCTTTTTATTTTGTAAGTTAGATGATAATTATTTATTAGTAATAATAGTATTAATAAATTACGTTTTTCCCTCCCGAAAAATAGTAAGTGTACCAAACTATAATGTGTTAATAATGTATTTCCTGAGAAAAATAAATGTATTAAAACCCTTTAGATTATCAGTCGTCTGGGCCACTGGGATCAACGCTATACTCTTTGAGTTTTATTTTTTCCTTTCTTGTTAACATTACAGTATATAGTGTGTAACCTAAAGAAAGAAACAACTAAAATGCAGATAAACATGGTTTAGTCATTTGGTTTTGCTGGACTGTAAAAAGCATCAAAATTCTCTCAGAAAAGTAAGAAAACCTGTTTTAAAGATCTGTATTAGCATTCTTTAGTGAGTTAAGGATAAACATAAGTACTTTTAGTACCATAATTACATTATTTATGAAAACACTGATGTATATATGGTTGCGCAGGTGCAAATGAGCTGATGGTACGGATGAGACGGATCGGGTTGTGAAACGAGCATCATGTTCCATTGAAAGTTCTCAGACAGAAAGTTCTCAGACTGTACCACGAAACCCTGCGGTTTCATCGTACAGTCTGAGTTTACAGCTCACGATGTATGTTCTCACTGTACGTCTAAAAACCATGTCAGACTCAGCTCTGCAGTGAGATGGCGCTACTCAGATTCGTCTATTCCGAAGCCAAACCAGTAGAAGAGGAATATGAAGCTCTCTAGAGAGAAACGAACTGCCTTGGCAATTTGTGCAATTTTGTGCTTCAAGCCCTAAAAAGAAAAGACGACGACGTATTTGGACAAAGACATGGCTGAACAAATGTGACTACTATCGATTTAAAATCAAACATGTTATATTTTCTCACGATTCCTGATTGGGAAGTGGTCATGAGAGGCTGATCGCCCGTCGTTAGCCCCTGTATACCACATGACGCACGATCAGGCTGAAAGTCAGCCCGATCGAAAAAATTTTCGAGCAAGTGGAAAGTCGGCCCGAAAAGGGCAAAAAATCGCACTGTGGAAGTCCGGCTTTAGGTACTCTACCGCCACCGGCTGGTGGGGAGTGTAACAGCTTCATCATTGGTTGTAGAGTTGTACTTGAATTTTTGTAAAGGTTTCTGCAAATGATTTCTAACCTTGTATTCTCACATATAAAAAATGTGATGTCATTTATCTGTATGAGTAGATATTAAGAATTTTTTTTAAATCCTACATTTATCAACATTATTGATCCACGTTTACAAAGCCGGACTTCTACACAGACATTTCCATTAACAGCTAATTGTCTGTTGCTTCCTGTCATCTCATGGTAATTGTCTACCTCCCATTTTACAGGCAAAACTCTGGGGAGGATTTCGACGTCTACCTCCAGAATGTTAAAGCTCAGTCAGATGCCTTCAGAAGCAACAGTGAGTGACATGTTTCAATCGATTCAAACTCCGAATGTGCAAAGAAAAGTTTGGATCTCTGTTTCAAGACTGAGTGGATTTCAGAAAAGAAACGCAGCAATTAAGTGTTGCCTGTGCGTTTGCAGGACTTCCCTCTGAAACAAACGCATTGACTCCCAACACCGAGTACAGCTGGGATTTCACCACTAAGACCCGCTCCACCAACGATGATGGGACCTCACTTGATTTGGAGTGGGAGGATGAGGAAGGTGAGAGATTTTTAATCTGCTGCTTATATTTGATAGAATTCTCATAAAATTCTGTCAGTGATGTTTTGTTAATATTAGATTTACTGAGATAAATCTGTGTGGTGCAAACAAGGTAGTCTAAATTACCAGACATTATATTCAAACATTACTTTTAAAAGTTCAGGGACCTCTTCCCTTAATTATGGGGATTTCTGGTTGTCGTTATAACAACTTTTTCTTCATTGTATCTTAATCTGCTTATTTTTAATATGGTAATATTTTTTTATTCTGATATAAACTATAGGGGGAGAAATGCCCTGTCTGGTCTCCCTGAGCCAGTTACTATATTATTTTCCCACATGGGCAAATTTAACATATTCAGAGATGTTGCCGGGAGAAAATTCTCAATGGAAGTGCACACAAATCCTAATTACTAAAGTTATACATTTAAGGTACAGAGTCAAATTACTCATCTGTACAGAAAGACCCAAAAATAAAAATTTAATCATGATAAAATAAGGTTATATAACAAAGCATCCATCATGATTGAGTTTAGATCCTTTTGAAGCCTTAATAGAATTCCAGCACTGGGCTCAAAGAAAAGTGGCGCCATCTGCTGGCAATACCACAGAACTATCAAAAAGCCAAATGATGAAAAAAATATATTGATTAAACATATCTACAGCAATGAATCCTCCCCAGAACCTCCTAACAGAACACCACGGAAAAGGAAAAATCCTGTTTATAACAAATGCAAACAGGGACACAACATCAAGGTAAGAAATAATTCAAAGAAATGAATAAAGATAAGTCATAGGAAACACCTTAAAATGATTGACAACAGTTTGAGCCCTGGATTATATCTGATCTTAAGGAGGCTTCTGGATACTAGCAGCTGTCACAGAAAAACAAGTGTTTATATGCATGCTGAGCAAATTATCAGTTGCCATAAACCAACCCCTCAGTTGGATTACAATTCGAGTAGAATAGAAAATCCCTTTAGAATCAGAATCAGTTTTATATTTTTTATAGGTTTGCACTTACAGGGAATTTGACTTGGCTTTGATGGTGCAGATGGGTTATATATATATATTCTATATATAGATATTCTATATATATATATATATATATATATATATATATCAAATTTTTGTCTGCATTTGTCTATCTATATGTATGTATATATGTATGTATACACAATGCAGGCTGATATAGTTATATACAATATAAACGCACAATATACTATATACAATGTATAGTATATAGCTATATACTATATACACAGTAGGTTGTGCATTAAGAAGGTCTGGAGATGCTACGTTGGTGTAGCTTCTAGGTCCTGAACGGGGGAGAGGCAGCGTCATTGTTACCGGGTCTCTGGGCCTTGTTTATAAGCCTGGTGGCGGATGGGGAGAAACTGTTCTTGTTGCGTGAGGTTTTGGTCCTGATGGACCGCAGTCTCCTGCAAGAGGGAAGTGACTGAAATAGTTTGTGGAGGGGGGTGAGGGATCGGCCACCATCTTCCCTTCACACCTCAGATTCCTGGAGTTGTACAGGCGTGCAGGGAAGATTGTGGCTGATCACTCTCATTGTTCCACAATGGGCAATTTGTGATGTTACAGCAGCAAAAGTGATCACACAATGTGGACATTAAAAGCTTATAAAAATAACAGAATAAGCGACAGAGTTTAAAAATAACTAAAATACTGTACTGTATAGTATTTTTGCAAATATAAATACTGTGCTGTCACCCGAAGACTAAATAATCAATATACAGCTGTGGACATTTTTACATTGGTGGATATAGGGAAATAGCAGCAAAACCAGAGATCTGCAAAATGACAGCATGTTATTTGAGTAACTAAGGTAGAAACTGTGCAAAATCAGCAACAACTTATTGAGATTTCATTCAAATTCTGCATAATCTGATCAGAATGTTCTGACCGTGATGTTTACAGGACACATCTGCTGATCAGCTGTTTATTTAGAGGACCTCTGTCCCTGTAGACATAGCTACAGATGATATGATAAGCGGTAGCAGGAGGTAATTGTTGCTGCACATGGTCCTTGAATTTAAAGGTATAATGGAGGATGTTCTTTTTGCAGTTGGATCATCTAAATTAGAGTTTCTCGTAATTGTCAGTCATTCTGGTGATATCTTTATGTAAGGCTTTCCTTCATGCTCATCCCCATTTTCACGTACCGGCGGCGGGTCTGACATCGTGGAAAAATTGGAAATCTTCTTTTTGAAAGTAAGCTTGTATAAGTGATGCAAACAGCAACTTTTAAACAGAGCGTGCACAAGGAGAAATTAGCTTTTGCATGATCTCGCTTGCTATAATAGGCGTTCCCTTTCAGGAGTGGCTACAGGGTTGTGCATGTGCAATTAGTAGGCAAAAGTAGACTGACAGGAAGGGGGGTATGAGATAGGGGGCGAGACATGCGGAAAAGGACCACAGGTCGGATTCAAACCCGGGTTGGCTGCATTGAGGACGAAAGCCTCTCACACAGGTCATGCATACTAACCACTGCGTCACCTGCACGCCCGCAATTATTTTTTAAAGTTGAAACTGTGGGTCTTTTAAAAAAGTCGTGAATCCTTCACTATACCTTTTTAATATAACTGATTCCTCAAATTCAAATTAAGGAAATTAGTTCCTGGAAATTCCTTTACGTGTCCTTTAGGGCAGGCATCCCCAATCTCGGTCCTCGAGGCCTGCTGTCCTGCAGGTTTTAGAGGTTTCCCTGCTTTAGCACAGCTGATTATAATGATTGCTGTAGACCAAAAGCCTGTTAATCAGCTTTCAATTAAAATCAGCTGTGCTGGAGCAAGGAAACCTCTAAAACCTGCAGGACAGGGGGCCTTGAGGACCGAGGTTGGGGAAGCCTGCTTTAGGGAACTGGCATTGTTAATAAGGCAAGTGGCAGATGGGAAGATTATTTTTTGGTTATTAGCTGGAGCAATGTGAAAAGTTTCATTCACTTGAAGTAAATGATGAATTTTTTTTTGGTCTGTGCTACTTAACTTCCTTGATTTTTGATTCAAGGGCAAATTAAATGTGTATATTAAACCTTAAGAATTGTTCCAAAAGGCGCTTGAGTAAAAAAAAAAATTGTCCTTCCTTCACAGGGATCAACCGGGCACTGCCGGCCTGGGAGCGTTCTCGCACAGAGGAGGACATCTTGCGGGCGGCTCTGAGACCGGGCAGCAAACAGGTGAACAGTGGGCCCACCTCGGCCTCCGAGGACTCCAACGCTCTGGAGTGGGAGAACGACTTTGTGAGTACTCACCCAGAGGACAGCGCAGACGCTGAGTTTGAAGGGTTTGTCAATCCTGTCTTAGACACTCCCTCAGAAGACGCCTCGGACTCTGGCCTCAGAGCAGACAACCAGGACAGATAGTGTCCAGCACCAAAGGGGACGTTTGTCTTCGCCTCACCAGCTTTTTGCCTCATCAATCAGAAATGTACGTCTTCATAATCTGTAATGAATCTGTGATGCTGGAGAAATGAGGAATGGATCCACCGTCAGTTTAAAGAAGATTTGATCAAATACATGTTTTCAGTGCCTTCATCTGCTAAACTGTCTGACATTCAGCTTTGGAACTGGACTTTGTTTACCGTTTGAATCATTATTTGGTTACGATTCTTTTTTTGATGATCCGTGCTTGGCTGAGGGGACTAAAATCAGATTGTATTATAAACATAACTGTAAAAACTAACCAAGCTTAGATGGAAAAAATGCCTTTTTTCACAGCGTTGGTTTAGCAAATAGATATTTACGTGGAGGAAATATTAAAAAGCAGAAAAAGAAGCGACTGACTCGAGGATCTTTTTGCTAGTTTTTAAGTTTTGATCTCTGAGTTTTGAGAGTAGCAGATATTGTAGGAATACAATTGAAATCAGATTACCACTCTTTATGAAAGGTCTTAAGACTTTTCTAATTTGCCCAAATGTTTTTAATTAAATTACCAGTTTACATTTTAAATTTTGGTTCATAGGATTTCTGGTGTCCTCCTTTCATCGTTTCATTCCTGATGACAGAACCTTTATTCGTTTGTACGCCACCTTCCCTCCCTGCTTCCTGCTCAACTTCTCATTTCTCAAAGACATTTGCTTCGTCGCCTTTCGGCCATTTTGTAATGGGTCTTGATGTAGCAGAGGGTTATTTTATATCTGGAACAACTGGTTGTATCTACGCTTTCCCTTTCTGGCAGATGACCAAAGATAATCTTTTATTATTCCCACAATGCGTGACACTGTTGATTTCACAGTTGATTTCCAGGCTCCATCAAAATATAACAACAGCCACTGAGGCCAAATACTTCTACTGAATTAATTCAGTCAAACCAGAGGGTGTTTCTGTTTTCGGTGTATCTTTTGGGGGGGAGGGCTCCTTGATTTCTGAGAAACTTTTCTGGCAATCAGACTATCCAACCAGCTTTGGCCCGTATCATCATTGTTTTCAGCTTGGAGTCGAGGCATGCACTTTGGTACGAAAAGAAATGTTAGCCTTTAAGGCACAGAATCCGCTCTCTTCCCAAGATGTTCAGAAATGCGTGTAATTGTCTGAACAGATGAACGTAGCACTATCAGGAATCTAGAGATTGTACCTTAGAATGACTCAGTTAAGATTAGCCATCGTCTTCCTGCTAAGTTTTTTTTTTAAACCGTCACACAAGCAACATGATGCAGAAAGTGTGCTTGTATAAAAAGACCTCGAAAGTTAGAGCTTTAATTTAGCAAATCCGTCACTTTGAAACGTTTGCAGTCAAGACATCATTGGGCATTTTCTCTTTCTCTAAAGGCAGTGCAGTATTGCACTACAGCAACTACTGATTTTGAAGAGAAGAGATAATTATAAATTCTGTTATTCCAGCTTTTCCCAAATAGATAAATGGTTGTCCCTTTAAACAGTGTACGTGATAGATGGCTTTTTTTATTAATTATTTTTCCTTTTTTATTTCCAGACATCTAAATGTCGCTTTCTTGTCCAGTTTCTGGGATGCTTTTCTCACTTGTTAAAGCAACACTGTGTAACTTTATACCCAAATATTAGCCTTAATTTGATAGATGAATTATCAGGTAATCTTGCAGGTCTTGGTGTGTATCGATGCTCCATCCAGGATACTCTCCTCATAAACGTTCCTATCTAACTTTAAAGGGTCAGATCTGTCCCTGAATGAGTCATGTGACCCAGAGCGCTGCTTTACAGCAGTCTGAGATCCCCTTAAACACCAGAGCTAACTAAGCTAACAGTTGTTAGCCAGTTGTGACCCTGACCTGATCAGACACATTTGCCTCTTTAGTGTTGGTAACTTATCTAGACAGGTTAGTTCAGTTCACTCTGGATTGATTAATTTTTCTCCTTTAGAAGGCAGTATTCTCTCATTAGGATCGGGATCTTTGATAGCAAGGCGGCTCTACAGTCTAACATAAAGTCATCACAACGACAGCCTCCTCCGTTTGTGGCTATTGTCAGACTCGGTAAAAGAAAAGCCTTAGATGACTAGATGAAGCAACCTGGAGATGTACAAGATAGAGAGAAGCCATATATAATCATACAGAGGGATAGTAGCTACAACTGAGTATAAATCAGCCTTAAATGCTGATTTATACTCAGCAACCAGGTCGTCTGCGTGTGTGTCGCAGTGAACACAGATATGCCCTCGCCCCTTCCGCAGACACTCTGCTGCACCTCTCCTAAATTGTAGGTGACCGCAGACAGGAGGCCTCTGATTGGTCAAATCTACATCCACCCTATGCGTATTTCCTGTTTAGTACCTTACTGGCTTGTTTTATTTGCATGACCGCCATTGTGGAAAACGACTCGTAAAGTTGGACCAGGTAGAAGAGTGAGGTGAGCGAGAACGCTGGGACCCTTTTTCCACCTGGATCCCCGCTTTTTGTCCCTCATGTCCCTCCGTTGTCACATAAACTTGCCGCCACTTCCTCAGCTAGTTCCTGATTGTCCCTTTTGCGTTGTGGCTTGGAATAACATAGCGCAGACCATGCTTCAAATTTGGGCATGAATCAAAAATATCTCCCACAAGCTCACTGTGACACACTGCTGCGGGATGATAACCAGCCCAAAAGATAAGTTAATGCTACCCATTGCTAGCTTGCTACAATAGTGCTTATATACACAATAAGCCCACCATGAATTCATTTAAAGTTTGAAGATCCTGGTTCGCTAATAAGCTGTGAAAAGTCGTCTACTCCTCCCTCGCCTGTTTCTACTGCTCCCATATATGGAGGGTGATGATTGGCAGAATAGCATAAATAACTCATGAAATAATTATTTAAATGCTTCAGTAATTTATTAAGACTGGAAATAAATGCAGATTATACTTCCTATTTTATATTCATTTAAACTGTCACACATCCATCAAAGTCAAAGAGGCGGGACTAGAGTATCACCGGTTCACGTTCTCAACCCAACTGCATAAAGAGGCAGGAGTTACTTATCCATTGTGTTGAAAATAAACGGCACAGTGTTTGAAAAAAAAAGTAATTTACAGCTTTTGCAGTGAAAATATTGACATTGGACAGAAAAGAAAGCAGGAAGTTGTCTTATGTTGCTCGGTGAGAAGCATCCAATCAGACGTAAGGGTTTCTATGGAGGCCGTCCTAGTCCCGCCTCATTGACTTTAATGGACGTGTGGCAGTTTAAATGAATTCATGGTGTGCTTCAATTAACGACTGACACATTTTTTCAGTTGTTTGTTTTTTTTATATTCTGGCATCACCCTCCATATCCCAGATGTGTTCTGTTTGTTCTTAAACTTTGAAAATGTCCACATAGGGAACATGAAAACGATTAAAACTTATGAAAAGATCAATAATGTCAGACATTTGACATCGTGTGTGAGCGTTCATAAGCACAGCATGTTAGCATGCACTGCTAGCAAAGAGGCTCTGACATCCAATCAGTCAGCCACAGGTCACATTTTATAAATGTGGGAACATTTACAGATGAAAACCATCTGTATGTTCAGCTCATTTTAGGTTATTGAAGCCCACATCAGGGGGAAACAAGCATTTAATGAACTGTTAAACAGCCTTGGGTTGATTCATCTCTGTTCTTCTCCATCTGCTCTCTTTAAGGTGATGTGAAATATCCAAAGGAATGAGCAGGTTTATGAACATTTAATGCCACAGTGATTGAGAAACCTTGTAGGAGATGTAAAGTTCAATTAATTTGTGTACGGGTTGCTCTGAACTGTAAACTGGAATTAATCTGATTCTTCTAATAATGTCTGCATGTCTCAAAGTGGTTTTCACTCCGATCACTTTGGTTCAATCAAATCAAAAGCTCATAGGTTGCAGCTGGATGGTATAGATGGAGGAAAAAGGATTTGGAGGAGGTGCACCATGGGATACTTATTTTTTTTTTTTAAAGGGTAATTTTTAACACTGTTCGATATGTTTTGTTGTGATTACTGTTTGAAATTTGTTTAATCATGTAAATTCTTTACAAAAAAAAATCTATATATATATATATATATGTGTGTGTGTATAATTCAACATTCCTTGTCACAATGAGCTTGAAGAAGAAAATAAAATGCATTATTTTAAATGCTTGTTTCTAGTGTTGTTTTCAAAGGTAGTTTGTAAAATATTATGTTTATATGTTCTATGTTTTTTACAATCCTTGCGATGTGCTGCCAAAATACATCATGAGTGCATAAATGTCCCGTGAAACGAGTAGATGTAACAATTTAACTATCAATTCATTTCAGTTTGAATTCAATTCGTCAGAATGATTTTAACTAATGAAAAAGATTAATGTAATTAATCACTTTTATTTTATACCAGCAGGACCCTTCGTTTTTGCTGTTTCACTAATGAACAAGCTAGCCGTTTCTGCCAGGATTATTTGTTAAGCACTTAAAAAAATAACCACAGCTGACCAAAGTGCTGTACAGAAAAAGAAATAAAACATCACTGGAGACAAAACGGATCCAACATGGGTAAAAAGTAACATTTAAACAATAAAAGCATTAAAATTGGTTCAAGACGAAAATATAAAATAAAGCCATCTGTCTTGCTAGGTGTCTAAAGCCAAAAAAAGGATTTAAAACCAGTCAAAGAAGAGGCCTGTCTGATGTGCTGAGGCAGGCCGCTCCAGAGCTTTGGAGCTGCAACAGCGAAACCTCGTCCCCCTCTGAGCTTCCGCTTAGTTTTAGGCTCTATCAGGAGCAGCTGACCTGAGAGAACGAGTAGGTCTATAAAGATGTAGAAGCTCACAGAGGTATGATGGGGTGAGACCATTCAGGGATTTAAAAGCAAATAAAATAATGAAATTAACTCTGAAATATATGAGCAGCCAGTGCAGTGAAGCTGAAATAGGGGAGCTGTACTCATCATACTTGCCGCAGCATTTTGAACCATCTGGAGACGGGAGATGGAAGAGGCACATTCCTGACGCCATTACTGGGTTTGTTCAGATTACCCATGGAGTAAGTGGGCGTCCAAGATTTGATGTATTCTGACACCCTGTTACATTATCTAAACCAACCTGTTGGGAGAGTCCAACCATGCCACCTAGAGGAGAACTGGAGCGTCTACCTACTCTGTTAAAGCCCCCAAAACCTGTTCAGATTAAAGCAGGGAATAACAGGCTGCTTTAATCAGTTCCTCCTTGTAACTTTACAAAATAAAGGTCTGTCACCTCCAAAGTTTCAGGAGTGATTTGTCATCATAAAATATGTTTATAAGCCAAAAATGAAAAAGCTGGGACTCTGTGTCCAATTTAGAGAAGAGGGACAAATTAAAGCAGAGACAGACAGCCTGATAAAATCTACAGCAAACTCTATGGCTGATGTAGTTCAAGCCTAGTGTCTGATCATAATCTTAAGACTGTGTATATTCCTATGTTGGATGTGTAGAGTTGATGGGGATACCAATTCTGGCAATATGGGATGAAATAAAACACTTGATGTTAGAACAAAGACTGATTATTAAGGATAGTACAACATAGAGAAATTATAAGTTAATACAAAAAACAAATATAGACTTAAGTACTAAATTTGACATAGGAAAAAATTGTTTTCCTACTGGATATAGACCTTAATGTTTACACGTACCCTCCAATATCTATTTTATTTTTATTACAAGTATATGGCTGACAACAGTTTTCAATGGGATGAGAACATGAGAGATTTTTTTTAATGAACGTGTTGAAATGAACAAAGAGATGTTGGCTTTCAGAGAAAGGAGTAGACACTGCTGTCAGCAACCTGCCCTGAAGCAA